TTCGAAATTGTCAACATTTAAGTCAGATGACTCATCTGTCCATGTTTCACTGAATAAAACAATGTCATTATTTTCAAAGATATTTCTAACTTCCGGCGAATTTAATTTATTTGTCCTTTTTGTAGCGATACCCTGTATATTAAGTAGCACAAACCGTAGTGGTACCTTCTCCTGCACATACTATTGACCTAATTGTTTATCGTTCTTGCTCGTGCTGTCATTTCTATTAATAGAAACTGGGGAAATCCTGTTTTGTCTTTTGTATGGACTGGCCGACTCGACACGCTTTTCTGACCTAGACGCCGCACGAATATTTCGTGCACGCCCCCTCTCAGGTAAAACTCGTTTATCGCCGCTATTTACTGGCGTGTTATTGTTTGTTATTGATGACATAGATGTAACAGCTCCATATTTGGGTGATGTGACACTGGCGTATGTTTCTACGGATTGTGTATCTAGGTTAAAGTACACTGCAGGCATATCTGACTGATTTTGAGCAGAATTTTCACTGTTTTTATTGTTCGTAGTTTGATGTGATTGTGATTTGTTATTGTTTTGATTTGTGTGTGATTCAGATTGGTGAACATTTGGATTACCGTGACTATACATTGGTTGGCTGTGTATTGTGTTCGGACATGTAGAATTGTTTACAGTGTTACCGCATGTGCTATTCTTTTGAGAAATAGGATTTTGTTATTTTTGTGAGGATACTGGGATGCTATACTGAGGGCCATTAAATGAGTCATTTAATGCAGGTAAGTCGCATGTATTGTATTGTCTTTGCATGACGTCACAAGTTTGTTGTTGGCTAAATGCGATTGTATCCATGTGTTCCGGTCCTTTTCCATTTTGGGGATCATGCTGACTCTGATACGATGGCTCGGCTAACTGACTTGTTATTTGGTCGTTCAGTCTACCAATGTGTTCGATACTTGACAACCTACTCGCATTTATATATCGTTGCCATTCAGGCATTTCATCATGCACAAGCCTACCATCCTGTATTAATTTAGCTGGGTAAACGATTGTTACTTTTGACCTAGGATTTTCCTGTTTGCACTGTTTATATCTAGGCCACAGGCGAGATCGGGCCTGCTGGATCTCTCTTGGTAGGTCAACACTGATTGAAAAGGGGGTATCTTTCAACAATTTCGCTTTACTCAAGATGTACTCAGTATCACAATAGTCTCTAAAATGTACCACTATTGGTCTGCTTTGATATCTTTTCATGCGATCTTTTGCACCGATCCTGTGCGCTCTTGAAATATACACATCTCTTGAGTCAATATCGAGATTATTTTCCAGGAAGTTTCGTATAATGTTCGGACAGTTCTCACCTACATTTTCAACAATACCTCGAAAAATCAAATTATTCCTCCTAGATCTTGCTTCTGTATCTATTGACTTGTAGGCTAGGGTTTTCATGAATTCTGTTTGATTGTTTGTGTTATCAATAACTTGGTTAACTTTTATGCCAATATTTTCTACTGACCTGTGTAATGCCATAATACCTCTGCAACTTTCAGCCTGTTCATTTCTCACAAAACGTAACTCGTCAAATATATGTATTAACTTATCGTCATATGAACTTTCCACAAAATTTTGTCTTGTGATATCTGATGAGCGATCCATTTTCAAATTTTCACTTTCCCGCTCTTGCAAAAATTCAAATCGATTCTGAACAGATACACTATATAACTCATTTGTTGTCATATTTCACAACGAAAACATCTAATATATACTCCACTTTAGAAACAACATATATTCCGGTAAATAAGCAACTAAAATACTCTGAATTCCTTCTAAAATTTCAAATAATCAGCTTTTTTTTTAACAGCTCAAAATATCCGTCAACACTGTCCGCCATATTTAATTACATTCAATTGTAGAAACGTACATTTCAGAGACCGAAATTAAGGACTGAGATTCAAAAAGGCTACAGGTAGAGAACAAGAGCTGAAAGATACCGAAAGTTAACTTTGGAAAGAGCGTTATTGTAGAATTATGTATTACAGAATCCGAAATATTTGACTAACAGAGAGAGAAATGAAAGAAACAATGTTTAATAAAATAAAAGCAAACAATGTTTCATATAAGCAATGTTTCGTATAAAGTAAATGATTTTTTTCAAGAATTTACCTTATTGTGTACAAAACACTGGAATATGTTGTAAAGCAACAAAATAATCAAGTTAATGTGTCACACTTCTAAAGCATTTATTTTTACATGCATTCACAAATGTAATTTTGATAATCATAATCTCTTAAAACATGCAAATTTCTAATGAAAGATATTAACAGGACTTTCGACGAATCATCCTCAAATGTATGTTACTTGCAAAGTTGCACATAAAATTGAAGTTTGCGATAGTAAAACATGTTTTTTTGTTGTTGCTTTTTTAATACATAAAAATGCAACAAATTTTATCAATTACACCATATTGGGGCTCAAAACATTTCTGGACATAATAATAAACAAGGCTGTAAAATTATTCTCATAACAATGAATAACGTAACATACAAGGATGATCACATGTGATTTTAATTATTTTATAAAGTAAAAATGTTTGTTGTTTTAAAAATTTAAAAAAAGAAACATTTTGTTTATAATGTTAAATATTAATAAAATAATTGGTGTCTTTTTATGTACAACACCCATGCCAGAAAACTGAAATGTACGTTACCAATAAGAGTTTACAACTGTATTTAATAAAGTCTTTAAGAGAGTCTTAAAAAATGCTAAAGATTGATATTTTAAAGCATTTTATTACACACGTATGTTGTCATAAATGGTAAAATATGCACATATAATGTTGTTTACATGTACTTTTTACCTTATATGAACAGAATCATCAATTAAAATACATCTTATTTCTGTATGCATATACAATATCTTACTCTGACCAAGCGTTGATGATTTTTGTAGTTAATTGTTCAAATGTTAAGGAAAGGAATAAATACCAAACAGAAATATTTAAGTTTTCCTATTCCTGTCAGATTTTCTGAATGAATTCACTGTTGATATTTTTTTGTATTAAACTGAAATGTACGTTACACAATTATTACATTACTTTTAAGGCATTTAGGGTGAAAAAACAACTGATACATGCATAAATAACTTTACAACTAGGAGTTTATATGTATCATGAATAATCAATAGCATTCTAATGTCGAACTGCCTTTCATTGATAAATCTGTAAAGAACTTCGAAGTATGCATTGAAATAGTAAAAACTGTATCATTCATCTGTAAAATTTGTTATTGTTTTAACATTCCAAAAACCTGAATATATTGATATAATTTAACAAAAAAATGTGTTTATTTCCATCCTACATCTTTTGAGAATAGAATTGTGAAAACAAAATTACTGACTAGTTCAACAGTTACATGATTATGAGCTGCTAATTTAAGGGACACTCAAAGTAACGTACATTTCTGTGCCTGTTTTTATAAGAATGACCTGCTCAATTTGATATGGAACTGAGAGAACATGGTTCGTATCTTGTTTGCAAGAATTCAAATTTATGTCCGGGAGATATTCTTTTTCCATATTCAAACATTATTTTTATGATCTCTGAACATCATTTTTTTCACTTTCCGTGATTCAATATTTGTAAATGGTATTGAGAATGCGTGTAGACCCATTTTACATGGCTTTTTTTTTCATACTGTCAAACCGTTACAACATCGCGCGTCCAAAATCATCTCGATGTCTCTTTGACAAGTCTAATTAGTTGGACTGTTGTTGACCTCTGAATGACTGAATGACAGGACGACGGGAAAAGGATCTATCATTTTTTGCAATCATATTTCGCGATGATATGATTTAGAACAATGACGATAGTATAATGTATTTGTTTTAATGTAGTGTGACCGACTTGAAACAGTGAAAAGGTATCACAAAACTTTGTGAAAATTTCCTAAAAACAGACCTAGACCCCAGTTCCAATCAGAAGTTATGATAGTTCGCTATGTGTTGAAGTTCAAATATATTTGTTGAACAATAAAATCTTATTCCAACTGTCCAGACCCTTAATTGTCTGAGGTTAATTTCTTGGTCCTTGGAATGCAATGTTTGGTGCTTGTCACTTCAAACTTGTCAAAAGACCTATACCCAAAATGATGGGGACGTAATTGGATCAACATCTAATTAAATGTAACTGATCGGCTATTTCATTTTGACCAGGCGTTTATGTAATCATCCCTTGACTGTAAAAGGAAGTTTTATGTGGTTGCATGTGATTAAATGAACCTATATCATTTTTCTCCTATCGCATCATTTTTCTCCTATCGCTTTCTTATATTCAACGACATAATGCTTTTAGTGTTTTGTAAACGGTATGCATCTACATATCTGTTTACTTTTTGTTATGCATATTGTTCTTTTCCTAGTCTCGGAGAAAGCTGCAAAAATAGTACCGCGTCCAATTTAGATTTTACAGCTGTGTACTCGTCCAAGAAAATTCATATCGAAGTAATTCTTCACACAAAAATACATTTTAACCTCAAAATATCTCAGAGAAGTTTTAAGGTCTCAAAGCAAAAGAGAAATCTGTCACACATGTTTGGCATTATTTTGTCTTTTTTTTGTGTACTGCTTCGTCCAGTCAGCTTCGTATTGGGATACTGTCACCGTTGTCATCTGGAATCTGTAATATATACAAACAAAATCATGACATTATTTATTGCTGATTAATAATTGATCAATGCATTAATTTGTAACCTGTATTTTGAACCCTTGAACTTGTCTATGCGCGTAAAGCTTTGTTATTGTTTGCCTACAATATTTGCCAATGAATTGTTTATATTGTGTTCATTGCCATTTGATGAAATATTTATTTTTTTAAAAAATACATTTTTGGATCATACTTACTTTTTCCAATAAGACGGTAATTCAAGCCACAGAACATTCAGAGAATAGTTGTATTGAAACATGTGGCATATCACAATTTAATTATTACTAAGAAAAATACAATTTTATTTTTGTGATTATTTCTTAAAATGATTGTTTTAATGTTTCTAGCGGTGAAGATATCAATTATATCTTTACTGGCCGTGCTTCTAACAAATACTGCCTACACTGTATATTACAAACGGATATCTGTAAACGGTGAGTTAATTTTTCCTATTTTTCACTGCATTATATTCTACTTCACTCTAATAAAAATTAGCAAGCATTTCAACCTGTGCTCAAATACATTTTACGTGAATGTTAAGCCCTTTATATTTTCTACCAATTGTCATTTAAATGCAGTACTTGCGAGAGTTTCAGTGTTAAATGTGTAGCATTCCCGCGTGATATAAATATATAATTAATAATGATTAATTATGATGATGATAATGGTTATGATGATAACGGTGGTGGTGGTGGTGATGATTATGATGATATTGATGATAAGAATAATAATGATGATGATGATGATAAAAATAACGACAAAGATGACAACAATAACTATGATAACGATGACGATGATTATGATGTTGATGATGATTGTACGATGATAATTTTTATGATAATAATGATGATAATATATCAAAATAACGAGGATAATGATAAAGATTATAACAATGATGATGATAACGATGATAACGACGATGATTATGATGATGATAATAACGATGATGGTGATAATAATGATAATATTAACGATGATGATGATGCTGATGCTGCTGCTGATGATGATGATGATGATGATAACGTTGATGATGACGATGATTACAGTAGTGATGATGATGATGACGATGATGATTACAGTGAAGATGATGATGATAATGATGATGATGATGATAGCATTGATGATTTATACAATCATATGGCCATATAGATTGAAAATTACGTTTCTGTTCTATATAGGATGCGAGAATGATCCTTGTGGTAATGGAAATTGTAGCAGAAATATACTCGGTGGTTATATCTGTTACTGTGAGGACGGATGGTCGGGAACTAACTGTACAGAAGGTAATAATGAACATATATTTGCCCTGCCATTTGCCAATGTCGAGGACTGTTTCGCAAAAGAGTTGCTTAAAATCTTTTTACAAGATTTTAAATGATAAAGTGCTTAAATCTTTTGTCCATGCGTTTAAAAGAAGAGTTTTCATGTAATGCTTTCGAGGGATCACCTTTTCCGGATATTTATACATCAACACAGCAGGTGTCAAGTGCTGTGGGGCAGCCGTAAAAAATGTCCCGTACTTCATTTCAGTGTTGTTATATTTTTCTGGTCCTTCGGGATTATTTTAAGTCCAGCAGTTTTTAAGTGTTGAGAATTAAGTACCCCTTATGTCGGGGCATGAGGGATGTTATTGCACTTTTTTTCATTATCCTTCATGGACAGACTTAATCAAACCGAGTATGAAATTTTCATATAGAATTTGCTGTTTTTTAATGCTTCCGAGGGAAAATATACTGTATTTTGTCCATGCATGCTTTGTCAGAATCTTTTGCCAATGCTTTCAGAGAAAAACCATAACTGAAGCTGTGAAAGAATTGGTCAAGTGGAATAAGCAATCAATGTTTTCCAAGAAATAAAAAATTTCAACGAATAGGATCTTTTGTTTATCAAGTTTGCTTTACTAAAAACATCATATATAAATCAGCATCTTAATTAAAATTGGACTTTGTTCATATATTTCAGAACTTGACAGCTGCGGGTTCGATCCTTGTGTACATGGTAATTGCAGTGTCCAATCTTCTGGATATTCATGTACATGTGAGCTAGGTTGGACCGGAAGGAACTGTTCATATAAAAATAGTAGTTTCCAAATCATAAAAAATAATTCGCGTTCAGGTTGGTTGACTTGTTAATTTGTTTATAGCAATGAATTTTCAAGATTGATTTACTGTACGGGAGTCATAGCCGCCTAATTTGCTCTTTAACATATACAAGTGGAACATTTCCGACAGTCCGAAAAATGTATTTTCTCTAAATTAGTTGACGGGTATCTACAGAACGAATAGTTCCAGGTTCTAAGATTAAATTAGATTTTTAGACATTGCTTACATTTTAACAGAGCAACCAATTTGTTTTTAATAAGCGTTAAAGAAAAAAGAGCGGAAATATTTTTACACAATGATGGAATAAATTGACCCAGTATCAGCATGGTTGTCTGACACTCAACACCTTTGTAGGGTAACAGGTGTTTGATAGCCTCTACCTTTGTTTAGGTAGAGCATTGTACTGGGAATCGGGCAAATCGGGTTCGATATTTCTTAATTATTTGCAGATATTCCAGCTGATCTGTATGAAAATTATATAGAATTTTATGTTTATTATGCTTTGAATCTTAGTGGACTTTTAAATAAATGAGACTATACAATTAAGTTATCATTTAACACCGTCGCATAATATACACATTTGTAGATACATTTCAAGTCAAAATAATTTGACATCTTGGGCAGATTCTGAGATAATCTTATTTTTTAAAATCAAAATGGAAAGGCAGCAACAAAGTCGTAAATATATGTATTGTAAAAAAAAACATAACAAATAAGATAACACAGTTAGTGGTGATATTACATGCCAATACTGATGTTAGTATAATTAATATCTACAAATAATTCAGATATTGACAGGTGCGAGACAAATCTATGTATCAATGGAAATTGTAGTGACGTGAATGATGCCTATATATGTCACTGTCGTCCTGGCTGGACAGGTCAAAACTGCTCTGAAGGTATGTAAACAACGTTCGTTCCTTTCTTTCTTCCTTCAAACCTTCCTTCCTTCATTCATTCATTCATTCATTTTATCTGGGAGGGAAGATAAGTGTTTCTTTCTGTCCCAGATTTTATTATATCTTATTATATACTTATAAATGAAATATTGAGGAATATTGATAAAATAAAATGCGTACTTTCTTTTCCCGTATTTACACTGCGCAGTGAAGCAAATTTTCCGTATTTTCACTGCAGTGAAACATAATTTCCGTATTTTCAATGGGGTCTTGCCGGACTTTCTGCTAAATTCAGCCAATATGAAAATCTTTCAAACTGTGATGTCTAAAAAGAGAAAAATATTTACAGGAAACAATTAATTTCAGAATTTTTTATAAATACTTGTGCTTTCATGAAATATTTATTTTAGATGAAAATAAATCCTGTCTGATAGAAAAAAACTTGAATATCCTTTATTTATTTATTTATCTATTTATTTATTTATTTATTTATTTATTTATTTATTTATTTATTTATTTATTTATTTTAAAACTTGAATATCCTTTATTCATTTATTTATTTATTTATTTATTTATTTATTTATTTATTTTATTAATTAATTAATTAATTAATTAATTAATTTATTTATTTATTTATTTATTTATTTATTTATTTACTTATTTATTTGCAGAGATAGATGAGTGTCAGTCTGAACCGTGTTTCCATGGTAACTGTACGGATATGATAAATACATACACATGTCAGTGTGACCCAGGCTGGACCGGATCCAACTGCTCTGAAGGTTTCTGATACAAATCGTTCATCAAAAAAGTGGCAATGTCATTCTTTTATACTAATTTTCATGAAAATTTTGAAAATGTGTTTAAAACTATTATTTGGTGAAATAACTAAAAGGAAGCAATTTACACATTATCAATGACACTTACAATTCACATAAGTTACTATAATAAAAGGCGGACAAAATATGCAAAAATAGCCCTTACTGCGTTAGTAACGCAGTAGAAATATAGGTTATAAATACTGAAAAATCAGTCACTAATCGCACATAACATATAAATTATTACTTGAATCTTGTATATTTTTACTTTGCCTAAAATCTTAGTACATTTTTCTCAAGTTTTATTTTATTGAAATATTTTCGCTCATCTGGTTTAAAATCTAGTCTGGTCAAACAAAAATGCAAAGATTTTTAATAAGAAAACAAAATATGACAATTGATATTTATGATATTCAAAATGTTGTCCATGACTTAAAAATCTCTTACGTGGCTTGAAAACTGTCTTTATTGAATAATAAAAATGATGATAGTGTAGTCTCTTTATTAAGTAATTAAGTATTCCTCGTGATTTGTTAATGATAGCTTTTTTGACAATGTATTAATCCCTATTTTCTTTTATTTAGATATAGATGAATGTAAGAAAGCGCCCTGTTACCATGGTAACTGCATTAACTTACATAATGCCTATCAGTGTCACTGTTATACCGGGTGGTTGGGAATCAACTGTTCGCAAGGTAAACTCAGTCACGGATAATGGGTTCGAATCCTACTCGGGTCACGACCATGTTTCTTCAAATGACACCAGTACTGGTTGGTTCCAGGAAGCGACGAAAATGTCCAGATAAACGTTTTAGACATAAGAATGGTTAAGATCAAACAAAAGCTGATGTTTTTACATCATCCTCCTTATATCTACGTCAAATAACGTATAACGCTTTTTGTCATGTATTGTTACGGCTAGTATCTGATAATTTAATTATCATACAGATATTTTGGAATTATAGTTTCTCGTGTTAGGAAAATTGGATCAAAAACCACTCAAATTAAGTATCAAAACATGTTTCGCTTTATTCAGCTTCCTCAGTTGATACAGTTTCTCGTGTTCAAATTCAAACAATAATTTTGCTATGCAAGCAGCGAATGTGTTTATACACTTACAACTTCGTCTACCAATATATATGTATAGTATTAATTCTGATTTCGTAAAGTTTAGTGTTGAAAAAGGGCGTTTTTTATCTTATTTGTTTCAATAATTATAATTATAAAAACAATTACATAGTTCCGGTATAGTTTTGTTGGGCTTTTTTTCTATTCTTGTAATAGATTCAAATTGTATTTTATTTTATCTATTTATGTTATGCTGTTCAAAATGTTGGAGGAATTGAATTTATCATTATGGTTATTATTTTTTACTTAAAGCTGTATACAACGTTGCTCTAGGCAAAGTCACTGCCATGTCCAGTATTTATGAAGGTAACTCCGTGTTATATGGCCCACATAAAGGCGTTGATGGAAACAGGAACCAACAAATGTACCCGGATTTCTCGTGCTTCAGAAACGCGGAAACTGACGAGGGCGACCCCTGGTGGAGAGTAGATCTTGGCGAGGTATTCTTGATACAAACTGTGAAGATATACAACCGACTTGATTGCTGCAGTGAGTGATATCAGTATTTTGATAGGCCTATAATGCAGAAATAGTGTTATGCTTAAAATTTTGAACTGACTTTTATTGAAGCCAAGATCTCAAAGGGTGAACTTTTACAGATTTAGCACATTGATAAATAGTCATAATGCGAAGTTGTTCGTTTTATTTTACCAAATTCAGAATTATCATTGCAAAAATGTTTCATATCAAGTGTTATTATACCGCAGAGTTTAATTTTAAAACTGACAGGAAAATGATGTTTAATATCACCACTTTATATCACAACAAAACATAGTTTACTGTTATCATAGATTAAGCTTTGTTGATACATTTATTGAAAGTAATTTTACTGCAGAAATGTTATCATTTTTTGCTATTTTTTCAATCAAATCTGATAGCGACTAAAGTTATTTCTAGACCCATTATTTCCAGCTTTACTGGTTGAGAAAACCCAAGATGCCCCTTGCCATCAGGCAAAAGCGGGGGCACCGGAGTTAAACAGAACCACCAATCTTCCGTTAGCTAGCTAGCTAGCTAGCTAGCTTCCTCATAGAAAAGAAACCAATATCCGAGCCAGGATTCGAACTCACAGCGGTGTCAATGGACAGGAGATTTTTAAACACCAACCTCTACCGCTCCATAAGACTACAAAAAATCAGGCGCTGAAACTATACTCACGAGTTGTGCCCTTGTGAATAATGTTACTATATATTGTGTTTTTTTTCCCATGTTTACAGGCAGTCGTGCTAAAGATATAACCCTCTCAACAGGGACATCATTGGCTAATATGCTAACAGCCGGAATTGTGACGGGCCAGATGGCAGATATAGAAGAATTTATTCTTCCAAACAATACAGCAGCAAGATTTGTCCAACTAACAATGAATGGGACAGACCCTTTTCATTTGTGTGAAGTCGAGGTGTTTGGCATTCAAAGTTAATATTATCTTATATAGTACTGGAAAATTCGAGGGACAGGCTTTTGTTTTATTGAGCAAGAAACATTTCACATATTGTTTAGTACTGGTTGTTTCCATGAACGGATAAGTGTTAACAATCTTACAGGTTCTTACACAGTCGAGCTGAATAGAATTATTATAAAGTAATACAGAAAGATGATAATGAAACCTTATTCTTTCTGAATCTTCATGTAAACTTATTTCATGATTTTGTGTTTGAATAAACATTATAAATTATTTGGGGTTATCTCTATTTGAAATATGGCTCGTAAGGTAACCAGCCAATCAGATTTAATGTTTATGGATCTTGATAAAATACCATACAAACCTAAACTGAACAACACCATCAAATGTGTTTCATATTTTTTTATTTACATATAAACAAATATGATATCGTTTTTTCTTTGATTTATATCTCAATATAAACTGTGCTCATTACATAGAATACATATTAAAAGGCACAGTAACCATCACCCTATTTCTTTTAATTCTTTCGAAATGGCAAACATGTGTTTGATAATGTAAAGATAATGGATTAAGAGCATGTCAGCTATTCAAACTGAAAAAAGTAGCACCGAATACAGTTACGTGTCCTAAAGGTAGCAAAATGTAAACAAATTATATTTTGACTTCCATACAAAATGCTAATTCACTAAAAAATACCATTTGCCAAAAGGGCAAAATAAGCAAAAGATTGGTTATTTTTATGGCAAATAAATTTTTTATGGAAACTGTGAAAAAATTTCAATGAAAAAATGTAAAATACATTCCATTTTCTTTGGAAAATTTTAAATATATTCCATTTTCTATGGAAAATTTAAAAAGAAAAACAACAAAACACACAGTTCATGCAGATTAAAACATTTCAAATAATATTACTTTAAAAAGAACATGAAACAAAATTTATAAAAATTGGAAATAAGAAACCCTTTAATACCTGTTTATTTATACACTGTATACAACTCGAAACATTTACAAATATGAGCCGCATCATGACAAAACCAACATAATGGCTTTGCGACCAGCATGGATCCAGACCAGCCTGCGCATCCGCGCAGTCTTATCAGGATCCATGCTGTTCGCTTTCAGTTTCTCTTTTTGTAATAGTTTGTAAGCGAACAGCATGGATCCTGATCAGACTGCACGGATGCGCAGGCTGGTCTGGATCCATGCTGGTCGCAAAAGCATTACGTTGGTTTTGTCATGACATGGCTCAAATATATTCATAAGATTTTATCGAAACAAATGGGGCATGCATGAAATTATCTCCAAACCTACTGAAAATAGCAACAGAATATTTTTAAGTCTGAAACATTTCATTCTGTTAACATACAAATTTCATGTACATTTATATGACATAACAAAGCCATCTTTTGTTATAAATCTGGGTCAAGGATAGACCATAAGGCACTGTTGCTTTTATAAAATATTTCATCAGATATAGCTTTATCTACTTTACTTTCTGTTTGTAATTGGTACAACATAATATTTATGCTTGTCCAGCTGTATTTGATAAAACATATGCATGTCTGTAATTGAAAGACAAGATTGCATTGTGAAAAAATGCTATGCCACTGCATCAATATGACAGAAGTAGATTTTTATTTCTATGAAATTGAACTTTGCCACAATGCAGTAGTGTCTAATTTGGGGGTCAAAGTCATATATCTGCATGTGGAATGACAATGTGCAGATGTGTCTAATGTCAATATACAAAGGCCTTATTGCAATAATTGATTAAAAAATGAAAGCATTTTTACTTGACAAAAAATTAGGTATTAACTGTAATACATTAGCTGTATCAAACTTTGAGATGGAGGTACAGACAAATGATTTTTTACCTATTACAGACAAAATATGTTTATTTACTAATTACAAACACATTATCATTGTACTTTCAAATATCTGGAATGCATAGTTAGTGAGGTGAAGTGGTGACAATCAGATCTTTTATAAACATATTTAGGACACAATATTTACATAAATTCCAAACAGAATCATATAAATTATGATAATTTTACTTTTAAAATAAGAACAATTACTATAGACTTTGAGCAAAATGAAAAGGCACGGTCCAACTCTGTTTATACTTAATAATTACTTCAATCAATGTTATGTATGTCTATTTATTCAATTTGTATTTCAAAATGTTTTGTACACTTTGTTAAATCCTAAGCCTGCTAGTTGCTACAAAATCACTCCTTTTGTATCACTCAATGTTAATATTTAAATCACTCAATATCACCCGATGTTGAAATTTTATCACTCAATATGAAAATTTATATCACTCACTATGAAAACTTATAGCACTCACTATGAAAACTTATATCACTCACTGTGCATCACTCAATGTGAAAATTTTTATCACACACTGTGCAGGACTCAATGTGAAAATTTTAATCACTCATTTTGCATCACTCAATGTGAAATTTATATCACTCACTGTCCATCTTTCAATGTTGAATGTTGAATATTTATATCAATCGCTGTGCATCACTCAATGTTAATATTTGTATCACTAGCTGTGCATCGCTCAATGTTAAAATTTATATTTCTCACAGAGTATCACTCGATGTGAAAAATTATATCACTCACTGTGCATGACTAAATGAAAAATCTTATATCACAACTTAAACAGTCAAATCTGTGAACAAAGGACACTCAATGAAGAGACAAAACATGATCTCTATACAAGTGGTCTTTATTTGGAGGCTATTTTTATTCCATTTTATCAATGAAGAATTATTGAAAAGTGGCCTTTATTTGCAGGGTCACCTTTATTCAGAGGTGGTCTATAACAGAAGTTTGACTTACTATGACTGTAAAGTACTTAAAAGTCATATCTCTAATTGCATAACTCAATTACTGCCTTTAAACCAAACAGTGTATCTGGCATCGTTGATACAGTTATGGCCAATTTGAACGTAAAAAGTAAAATGGTAAAATAGTGGATAAACAACACAAAATGAAGAATTATACAGAAGACTTTTATACATGAAATAGACATAAATCTAAGGCACAGACTCAAATAATGTACCGTTACATATAATATACAGATTCGAGAGTGTTTCAATAAGCTATTAGTTTCTAACACAATCAAAACTAAAATAAATTTGTATAAATTAAACTAAATAATATACACTGTACAAACAAAAAGATACAAAATGACATATTTATTTTTAGCAATTCTTAAAATCTAAATAGTAAGTCTGATTACAAGAAAAGTAGGAGAATTTTTTAAAATTTCAAATAATTCACAAAACAAAAATCAAATAAATAGAGGATATTGAATGAGTGTAGGTATAATACTAAATTTATTGAACTAGTTGAAAAAAATCATATTATGCGAGCCTCTGGCGAGCATAATATTGTTTTATTCAACGAGTTCAATAAATTTAGTATTGAATCTACACGAATATAATATTCTATTTATCACATATATGAGATAAGGACGGTAAACTGTTAACAAGAGTCATTTTTATTTGACGCGCCTATAGTGTAACGCTAACATTAGCGTGCTTTAACGCTATGTTTATAGCGCAAAAATGACGTCACGTCAAAGTGTTATTACTCTAGTGTAATATTGTCTAGTGTAATATCGTTTTTATTAAATGGCTTTATTACACTCTTACGCCACGGTTTATGTGATAAACATACTTACTGAAAAGAATATATTTCATAGAAATCCTTTGCAATGAAAACGGCCATTTTTTCACAATATGCTCATGGGGTAAAAGGTTAATGAATTATAAAATGATTAAATAAAAATATTACATTATAGAAAATATAGACATGCATTTTAAGTTTAAAATGAAAAAAAAAATGACAATAAAAATAATTTGACAAACTAGTATTTTAAAATAAAATTAAAATAAAAATTATAAGGAATAAAAATAAGTATCCCTTATACCTAACATGCACAGATAAATTAAAACAAGACTGCATTTGTGAGTCACCGCATTAACACAATGCAGGTGCTGTGGTAGCATAAAAAAAACCAAAACTACAATGAAATACTTCTGCCTAAAAATAATTTTCAAACATAGACTAAACGTATCTAAAACTTTTGTATAAAACAAAGCACATTTTCTAAAAATTTCTTATTCACACATTATACAACAATCTAAAAAGAAGCCGTTACCAAAACAAAAAACTGTGGTCCAGTCAAATAAAAAGAAAAAAAAGACAAAGATGTAAAAATAACACAATATCTTCATGTTTGATCAAAGAGAGACAAGCACCAGAAATTCCTAAGTGTATCCTTAGTCATAGGAAATAAGACCAAAATTAGGACTATCTTAGGACTATTTCAATAGATTTAGTTAAGTTAAGTTAAAGATCTTAGATTTTAACAAAATTTGTTCTTCTAATGATAAATATATTTATTTGTGAATCAATGGGGATATTTTTATTTGTCGGGCATTATTTTTTGACAACGAGGGAAAATTTCATCAAAGATTTGAGTTTTTTAAATAATTTCGGGGAAATTTTCTTTAAAACGAAAAAATAACCAAAAACCTTTTTGGTTTTTAAACTAATTCAATTTAGACTTTTTTTAAAACCCTTTAACCCTAAATTTTCCAAAAAAATTTTGAAATCGGGGAAAAATAACTTAACCTATAAATAACATTTGAGCCATGTCACGACCAAACCAACAAAGTGAGTTGGTGGCCAGCTTGGATCCGCCGCGCAGTCTGATCAGGATCCATGCTGTTCACTTACCAACTCTATTACAAGTAGTTTGAAACTATAGCGAACAGTTTGGGGATTACTGATCAGGACTGTTGTCGTGCGCAGGCTGGTTCTGGACCATGCTGGCGCAAAACGCCACTTGTTGGATTTGGTCCATGACGGCCGGGGCTCATTTTATGTGTTATCCCCAATACTTTAAGTTCTTATTATGGTCCTGGAAAACTAAAATTATTACCAGTTTAAAGATAGAATTTCCATGCTTTTCTCGTTCAAATCTTTTTATTTCCTTTTCCTCACAATCTTGTCCACATTCTTAACAAGTTTGTTCACGACACTAGAAACGTCCTTGTCATGTTGTGCATTTTGTAAATGATATTCTCGATTGTGATTCTTCAGCGAAATCTTCGTTACAAAAGCTAAGCCGCATTCTTCGCACTGAAATTTTCCTTTACCCTTGTGTTGTTTCAAATGCCTGTTCAGGTATGCTCCGGTGGTGAAGCCTCGCAGGCATATCTTACAAAAATGCGATCGCTCTGTATGGGTTTTTATATGTTCTTTTAAATCTTGCTTCAGGACAAACTTTTTCCCACATGTCAAACATGAATGTGGTTTTTCACCAGTATGTTTGTACATATGACGGGTCAATGAAGTGCGAACCAAGAACGATTCATTACACACATTACAAACATGCGGTCGCTCGCCAGTGTGTTTACACATATGTAACTTCAGCTGACTTGACGAGTAAAATTTTTTGGAGCAAATTTGGCATATAAAACTGCCTTCTCCTGTATGAATACACATATGTACCCTCAAAAAACGTTTTTCCGAATAAACTTTGCTGCATACAGGACAAGGGAATGTTCGTTCACCTGTGTGAATGTTCATATGAATCTTTAAACTATACGCTGAAGCGAAATGCTTATTGCAAACTGAGCAAAGGAACCTTTTCTCCTTTATATGTGTTTCAAGGTGGCGTGTGAGTATGGACTGGGTTTTCCATAACTTTCCACATTGCTGGCACTCAAATAAGCCACGCCCAGTGTGAGAAGACATATGGAATTTCAGCCTGGACGCTTTTTTAAAGATCTTATTACAAAATGTACATATATGTAATTCACATCCTTGCGCTTTGTACGTCTTCATGTGTGCCTTTAATCTTCTCTCTCTTTGGAATATCATGTTACAATGTGGGCATATATGTGCACTTCTTTTGTCATGTACCAAACGAGTATGTGATTGAAGATTCTTTTTATCTGGAAATGTTTGATGACATTCAAGACACACTATTGGGTAAGTTGGATTCTTTGTTCTCACCACAAATTGGGTAGGAACCAATGAAACTGTTCCATTTTCAGTCACCACTCCTGCGTATAACGGAGCTTCTACCACTTCGTCTGGTTTGCTGTTTCTATTTGGTATCACATTATTGTTATTATTACCGTAACCAGTCTGAACCCTGTTTAAGTTTTCATTCCTCAATAGTTGAGGCGCGCTGTAATATTTGTACATTTTACCTTGAGATGTTTCACCGACTTTTCTGAAGCCGAATCAACGAATGCTTCGCACGATAACAATTTGACGTGTAGACCAAGTCACAGTCCAAGCAGTTGTAGTGTTTTTGTATTGAGATGGTTTCAGCAGATGACTCCTTGCAGCACTAAGTCCCATCAAAGACTCCTCACACAGCACACAAAAGTATGATGATATTTCGGATGGACTTGCAGTGTTCTTGGCATAACTGACAACACCATCAGTGTTATTTACAACACCATCAGTGTTATTTACAACACCATTAGTGTTATTTACAACATAATTTGTGTTATTTACAACACCATCAGTGTTATTTACAACACCATTAGTGTTATTTACAATACCATCAGTGTTATTTACAACACCATTAGTGTTATTACAACACCATCAGTGTTATTTACAACATCATTAGTGTTATTTACAACACCATCAGTGTTATTTACAACACCATCAGTGTTATTTACAACACCATTAGTGTTATTTACAACATCATTTGTGTTATTTACAACACCATCAGTGTTATTTACGACACCATTAGTGTTATTTACAACACCATCAGTGTTATTTACAACACCATCAGTGTTATTTACAACACAATCAGTGTTATTTACAACACCATTAGTGTTATTTACAACATCATTTGTGTTATTTACAACACCATCAGTGTTATTTACAACACCATTAGTGTTATTTACAATACCATCAGTGTTATTTACAACACCATTAGTGTTATTTCCAACACCATCAGTGTTATTTACAACATCATTAGTGTTATTTACAACACCATCAGTGTTATTTACAACACCATCAGTGTTATTTACAGCACCAAAAGTGTTACTTACAACACCATTAGAAGTACTCGCAACACCATTATTGTTGTCTCCACCTTTATCTGTCTGTTGCACATGCATCCCTTTACTTACTTCAACTGTATTCTCAACTTTCTTATTATTATCATTTTTTGTTTCAGGTTTATTTCTAGTAAGCTGTAAAACATCCTTTTCAACTAGTTCAACAATACCACTTTCATCTATATCAGTAACCTCTGCACCTAATCCATTAGCAATTTCATCTAAATCGCTATCATCAAATTCGTTTCTTTCAATCATTTCTATATCATCTTGGATCTCCATTTTAAGTTCATTCTCAATATCACCTCCAGTACTATTTCTATATTCATCTCTCTCAATTAGATCTATATCATCCTGTATTTCCATTTTAAGATCTGCAGCTTCCATTTCACTAATATCCAGATCATCTTCCAGTTCACTTATATTCAGATCGTCAACTCCTTCAATACCGGCCATGATATTTCTGAGGCCAGCCCTGTCAAGATTCATCTCTTCACATTCTGCGTCATGTAGTAAACTTTCAACCACTTTTTCTGCATCTTCACTTGTAGGAATAGGATGCTCTGTGTTGTTTTCATAGTCATCTTCTGGTTCCACCTTGATAATTATTGTGCTAAAATCCTCTTCCATTTCTGGGTCTGAACTTTATCCGACTTTCCTCTTCTTTCAATGTCTAAGTTTTATATTTCATATTTTTTTGGAAGACTTCCTATAAAGACAAAGGTTTGTTTTTTTTAATTTATAAAGTATCAATTCAGAATAAAAACACTGCATCCAGTATTCATTTCTTTATTTTTCTTAACCAATTTTGCAGACATACCAAATATTTAGACTAATAAAGTTTCTTTATAAGAAAATAAAAAAAAAAGTTTTAAAAACATTTTTTAAAGCCGACTAAAATATGCAACCTCTGGAAAAAAAAACCCACCAAAAATCTGTATAAGAATGGAGACTGTGGCTTTTTGAGCCTTAACTTTTTCTTTGATTATGATACCATGTAATCATTGTAATAATTAGAATATCAATAAAACTTTTTTTCTTTTATAAAGTACTTTCATCTTGATTTTTTTCAATACAGTACAGCAGTTACAACTTGGAAATTCAGTAAGAAATCATGACATCCCATCAATTTTCTTTTCCAATCAATAGGCTATTCAAGTTTTGTTTGGTTTAGAACATATGTTAAGATTATAACATTCAAATCTACAGTTGAGTTCACACTAAAGGTTACACAAAGTGCACTTGGAGTGCACTAGATGTGCACTACAAAGTGCACTAGTAGTGCACTACTAGTGCACTTCATAAGTGCACTTTGTAGTGCACCAGACCTATTATATGTATTAAGCAGTTACCTACTATTTCAATGAATAACAATTTGACTTTTACAAAAATATAGATATCTGTATAATAGTTTTTCATAATAAATTTGAAGTTGTGAATATTGGATTTTGTAAAATATGGCATAAAATATTTGAACAATAATTGTTCAAAGTCATTAATTTTACTGATTTTGTACTCTATGACTTAATTGTTAGAATAAGTAAATATAAATAATTATAACTTTAATGTTAATAAGTTAGTGCATAAATAAACAAAAGTAATTGATAGTTAATTTGATTCTATTTAATGATAATCTGGTAATGAAATAATTATGAAACGTTGAAATGCTAATTAAGAAAATATTCAGTTTTTTTTTTGTCTTTTTTTTTTGGGGGGGGGGGGCAAATTATACAAATTAGTTATTTTTTTATCTTATCTTATAATTGTTTTAGTTAAAGGTTATGATTTTAAGCATTAATAGCCTTTAATACATTAAAGAATTAATATGTTTATAATTGGCCTAAATTTTGTCAATTTTATCTCATTTAAAATCTCTCTTACCTTCTCAAACCAAGATTTACCTAGGATTAATATAAATGATATATATTATTCTGAAAATAAAAATATTTACATATAATGGTGGTATGTATGAATTGTGGATTAAGTGGATATGTACCTGTTGGACACTGGTATATATTTTAACTGACATGGATATTAACAAAAAGATTAGAAAATCTTTCATTTCCATTTTTTGAGACAACACCAATCTTTTATCTCTTTTTTTTTTTCATGCATTGTAACATAATTATGCAATATGATTATTTTTATGAGTTCATTATAAAATGCTAAAATATTTCAGTTTTCTTTTTTCTTTTTGTACTACTTGTAATGAAATTTATTTGCACATACAGAATTTACATTGCCTACTTATATTTATCATCTGCCTTTTGTTATTTACCCTAAGGGGCTCTCTTATCAGCAGGGTACTATAATAAAATACCAATACACAGCACGACTTTTGACACTTAAATCTTCTGTAACTGTCTTCTGCTCATGTATGATATTTTATTTTTAAAAAAAAGACAGATCTGCATTAAAGATAAAAAGGAAGTTGCAAAGGTTTTATAATCATGTATTTAAATATTTTCTTTAAAATATATTATCTTCTAAATGTGTTAAAACTGACAAGGCAAATTTGTCAAATCTATAATAGAAAAAATTAACATTTCCGAGTTCAGAAACTAAAAGATGCTGAAAATTTTAATGCAGAATTGCAAAAAAATGTGGATAAATATTGATATGAGGTCTTTCTAGAATAGTTAACACTGATATTGATATTAAATCAGTTTTTTATGATAAGATTAGAAAATTCCACTTCAAAGACAATAATGACAATAATATATAACATGCGTTTATGCCATTGTGATTATTTTTTACATTTGATTATACAAACATTATAGTCATTTATCTATGTCTTACATTTATTTTGGGAAAAAAACAGGAAATTTTAAATAAATATTGCATACATCTGCATTTTTGTTATTTACCCTGAGGCCCTCTTATCAGCAGGAGACCAGTGTAATGAAAATAGTCGCTCTCTCAGAAAAATACCAATACACAGCATGACTTGAGACTTTCCTCTTGTATTAAAGCATTCCCATTATACATTAAATCTTTAATATAGAAATCTTGAATAAAGTTATCAATTTTATTTATTTCATGGAAATTTTTTAATTATTTATATCTTTAAAAAGAATGCAAGCATTTCATGGTTGAAAAACATAATATCACAGTGTATGGATTGTTTTAAAATTAATGAATTAATATTCTCTTTCAATCTTGAACATGAGGAATTGCCTCTTAAGTTATTTATTATTATGCAGTAAGGCAAGAAATGTGGATAAATGAATAAATATAGAAATTCCGCTTTAGAGACAATAATATATATCTAATTTCAATGCATACTTATAATCTGCAAAATTGACTGTTCTTTGTTATTTACCCTGAGGCTCTCCTATCAGCAGGAGAGTTGTATAATAAAACAGTCCCTCAATACACAGCATGACTTGAGATTTTCCTCTTCAATAAAAGTAATTCCCCTTATACATTAAATTTTTGATATTGAAATCATGTATAAAGTTATCAAATTTATTTATTTTATGGATAATATTTTAATTATTTATATCTTTAAAACATATGCAAGCATTACACAGTTGAATACTAAATTATCACAGTATATTGATTTTTTTTAAATATTCTCTTTCAATATTCAACATGATGAATTATCTCTAAGTTATTATTAGCTTAAATATAAACCTTTCCTTGATTTGTTTGAGCTTATGAAAAAAAGTTTATGTTGTTACAAACTAGATTAATTAGGCCAGAATTGTCAGATTTTCCAATTTGTACACTAGAAAAGTTGAAATGCATGGCCATTAAGCTTTAAAAACACTTATTTAAATATCCATTATGGAGCATATTTATTATTTACAAATAACCTTATTAATTCTATAAATTTGATTTTAAGGGGTATTATTTTACACTTACAGTTAAATACTGGTTAAGAAAAATATGATTACAATAAATATATTTGTTTTTAATTTAAGCTTTAACATGATATCACTTAAAAAGTTAAAACTGCTGATTTTAAAATTTACTTATTAATATTCATGAATAGGCCACAATTATATTCCCAAAGTTTTTGTTTTCTTACAACAGCTTAACAATGGATGCCCCTTGTCACTTGATATGCAATTATCCAATAAACAATTTAGGTGTCACCTTCCCTGGTCAGCCTGGTCATATGGTCTAGTGCACTAGAAGTGCACACGGTGTGCACTTCTAGTTCAGCTCTAGTGCACTAGAAGTGCACAAGGGTGGGAAGTTTAGTGTGAACTCAACTGTATAAGTATAAAATCAGAACTGGTCTCACTTCTGTAAATTCTAACCATAATAGCAGGCTTAATGTTTTGGTAATGCTGCACACCCCACCATTTGACACTGTTAAATTGTATAAAATACATTCAGATAATAGGTTTCATGACTCTAGGTCAAATGCTTTTTGAGTTACATGCGACACAAAAGAGAACGGACGGACAGACAAGGGTAAATCTAAATGCCCCCTCCCCACTAAAGTGGGAGCACAAAAATACAGAATTTTCAACAGAGTTCCTAAAGAAAGCCCAACACAGCAAAATTGAAAATGTTGCAGGACCAGTTTGATTTAGCCTGTTCATAAACAGTAATGGAAAGTGCAATTTACTGCCCCCTCCCCCGCCCTGACCAGCTTAAGCAGAATTCTACATTTAACATTTAACACTGGAAAAATTTAGATTTTTGAAACATCCGCAGATTCTCATTTCCAGTATTTTTTTCGTTTCAATGAAATTATACATGTTGTCCTATGTACCCAAGCATGTCCCACTGTACCATATATGGTGTCCCAGAGTGCCCCTAGCTCGGGGCACTCTGGGACATTTTAACAGTTTAATGACCGTGTTCTATTGCATATCTCCAAGTCAACTTAATTATTTTAGGTTCAGTTAGTTATCTGTTACATCCAGAACATATTTTCCTTTTCATCCACGAAAGCGAGCATCAATCTTTAAGATATGTTTAGTAGGAGAATGAAAATTATGATTTTGTCCCATTGTGCCCCAGTCTCCGTTATCTTTCAGTTTCATGCCTATGAAACGGCTTAAATGTGGCATTATCCTGGTTTAACTTACTAACTCCCATGTAAACAAAAATATATACCTTCATATTACAAACGAATGCTGTGGAAACGACAGATAATCAGTTGATTTTCATTTAAATATTTATCACGTTTTTCACCTGGGCGCTTCCGCAGTAATAATCCAAAACAAATGGGGTCACTAAACAAAGGGAAGTAACTATACAAACATGTGCGTGTAAAGATTATTTCGCGGCACGGTCATTTTATACTCGAATCGTGAACGTGATCGAGTCCCGTATTGGCGTATTTTATATAAATGAAAGAAATATGTTTTACGATTAATCCGTTGGGATTTTTTGTGTTTAATTAATCATTATCAATTTGTCACTGTACTACGATATTATACCTAAATATACCAGGAATGCCAGAAAATTTCAAGTTATGTTTGTTAACATGCTCAATTTTAAGTGTGAGTTTCAAAGCATACTGTATATTTTTGAATGCAGGTATACATTAATGGAAAAAGAATCATGCAATAATGGACAGATTGTTGTCACCATGCGATGTTGTTGCACATTTTTATGCGAGACTCTGGGTACATTGTATACAATGGTAATGTAACGATTCGCCACACTAACGATTCGCCACATAACGATTCGACACAGAGTAATAACGATTCGCCACAGTTAAATAACGATTCGCCACGTGTTGAAATACAAACTTTTTCACACCTGTTTTCAAATTGTTGATGGAAAACTTTTTTCCATTTTATATTTCATTTGTTAATAACATAAATTAATTACACTGAATAAAGCTTTTATTGAATAAAAAACACACGAAAACCAAATATTTTATTAACAAAATTACATAACACATTTTATAACTTCGTTATTTATATAAACTGGAAAAATATAGTAACAAACATTTATAGAATAAAAACACATGAAATTAATTTTTTTTATTACCAAAATTACATTACACATTGTAGATGAGAAAAACTTCCGTTATTTATATAAACTGGAAAATTATACGAAAACAGCTTTTATTGAATAAAGACAAATGAATATTTTATTACCAAAATTACATTACACATTGTAGATCTATAAGTTAAACTTTGTTATTTATATAAACTGGAAAATTAAAAGAAAACAGCTTAAATTGAATAAATGAAAATAATATATTTTACTACCAAAATTACATTACTGTACACATTTTAGATAAGATATTTATATAACTAACATATTTTATTACAAAATTTACATAACATAACATAACATGTAGTTTATTAGCATAATATGTGTTTACATACATACATAGCCATTTACAATGCAAGAAGTACAGACATGAAATTTTTACATACATAAGCTTAATTGCCGCATTGTTTTGAAATCTGCTCACATTGTCAGATAATTAAAGGATTATTTCGGCGTCAATTAAATATTTATACAATTTAAGGTGATTGGCTTGTTAAGATAAAAGGTGTGACAAATGTTTTAGATATGCGTTCTTTATTCAATTATCGCAATGATCACATGTTTTTGCAATTTTTTTAAATATTTGACATACATATAATATATGAAATATATATTTATTTCTATGAATGATAATGAAATTGTGATGTTCTTTGTTCCTTTATTTGCAGCTGTCTGTTCTCCGTAAGAATGTCATCAGTTAAAACTTTTTATGTTCTTCTTCTTATTTTTTTCTTTGCTTTTGTCATGTGACCACATAATTATTTTATTTGTAATTATTGTATGTAACGAGATACTGTAAATGTATAAGTTACCGAAATAAACTATTTCTTCTTATATTAATTGACATTTATGTTTATAATTAATCAACATATATTATCACTTTCTTGTAAATGTACTCCTGTAATAATGTACGTTACTTTGATAAATTGAAAATCCGCGATGGGGGCTTTAAGTTCAAATTACTTGTATTAAGAAACATTATTAAATTATTGTCATGGTCAAAATATTAAAACAAAAGGAAAAAGTTGGTTGATAACTAAAAAAATCGTTGTTAGATCTATAATCATACTGTGGCGAATCGTTATTTAACTGTGGCGAATCGTTATTACTCTGTGGCGAATCGTTATGTTGCGAATCGTTAGTGTGGCGAATCGTTACTAATTCTATACAATGATAGTTTTAATATCAAAACATTACTATCAAATGACATCGCAATAGCATGTGAAAGCAATGATTTCTTTATATAGATTAAAGATAACGAAATTACCAATTAAGAGGTATACTTAAATCTTTTATGCACGAATAGTGCTAATGCACCTTTATTCGTGCATTAACAACTTTTTATGCAGAAGCCCCTGGACTTATTAATCTCGCGTCCTGCGGGTTTAGGCTTTTATTTATCGTTATTTATTTTATTTTTAGCAACAACATAGATCACAGTTACATAATATAAAGATATATAAAATTTAAATTAGTCCTCATGCTTCAGCAGATGTTAATGTATGAAATTAATGTGCAATCCGGGTATAATTAAAGCCGTGTTTGTTTGGTCGTATTATAATATGATTTGCAATTTTAAATATTCAAATCGTCTCAAAGAAACAAATTGCAAATAAAAATCAGTAATGTTCCCAATTGTTTTGAACTAAATTAGGATTCTCAAATTAACCAATCATTCGATTAATTCATTCAATTTTAACTTAACTGGTTAATTAATTAATTGATAAATAAGTTACAATATAATGTGTTAATTGATAGAATTACAATACAATGAATATATATTTCTAATTATTTTATATTTACAGTTTCACAATCAGTTGAGAAATACAAGAAATTTTCTTAATAAGAGTTGTATGATTGTTTGACCTTTTACCCCATGAGCATATTGCGAAAAATGGCCGTTTTCATTGAAAAGCCTCCTGTAACAAGTTCAAACTGCTATGAAACTATGAAAAATGCTTCAATACTGATGAAACTTGGCACAAATGTTGACTGGACCATAGCCTCTGTAACAGCATGCTCAATCGTAAATTTCCTGTTACCATGGCAACGGGGGACGTCTCAAAATTGCCAAAAATCACTATTTTGCATTGTTTTTTTTTTTTCCATCAAAACTGATTTCAAAGTGCTGCAACTTCTCAATGGATTGAGATAGAGTAAAAGGCTTTTCAGCGTCAGTTACTAGTTACCCTAAGATCGACCTGAGGCCAATTTTGCCCTGTCACACGTCCAAAATTTTCTTGGCGATGAGGGGCACTCCGCCCCCTTCAAACCCCCCAAACAGAAGGTGGCACATCCCTCTTCTGGCAACCCCCTGATGTAACATTTGGATGGGGGACATCGCCGAAAAAGTGATCACTTTTTTAACAACATTTCTCAAACGAAAAACAGTGTTTGGGGCCTAAAAAGGGCATTTTTTCACTGTTCGAGCCCACAAAAAATGGGGGGGGGGAAGGTTAACAAAAATTATGAAAAAACTTGAAATTACCCAAAAACTAGTTTTCCCATGTTAACAAGTGCCCTAACACCTAATTTTGGTGAAAAATTGTTGTTTTTTGACATTTTTTTATTTTTTTTAATTAATTAATTTTAATTTTATTTGCGATGCTAATTTCTTACTAATTTTACTCCTAGAAAAACATTATAAGTATCTTTTTAAGATATTAAAATGTACTTGACTACTGTACTGTGTAAGGCATAGGTGTTCGGCGCGTTGATTGGTCACTACCCCCGCACCCCCCCCCCCCCACCCCACACCCACTCTACAGCCATCCAACCTCTCAAAACCATGTAAAATACAGCATTTTTCATTTGAAACATGTTTTAATATTTGGTTTATGCTTTTAATTCAATTACCTTCATTTCCCACAAAAAATAAAAAATTGAGTTTTTGGGCTGTAGAGTGAGTGGGGGGGGGGGGGGTGCGGGGGTAGTGACCAATCAACGCGCCGAACACCTATGGTGTAAGGTATTCATAAATGAAATTGAAATATGTATACAAAAATAAGTAAGGAAAAAATCAACAAAGAAAAACGCAATACTTTTGAGTTCGAATTGTCCTTTTCGAATAAAAGACCTTTCCGCTTTTTAAGCACTTACAATTTCGTTCGAAAATAATTCGTATTAGCTGGCTGTCATTGTTTGTTGTCACTCGCTACTACACTTGAATAGGCACAAGATAGCACATGTTGACAGCGTCTGGATAATTACTTTAATTATAACAGGATAAGTGCATGCAATCTGTCGATTATCAATGGCCGAAGCAAGGAGTGCTGTGTCCGAGCCCAGGGTTGGCAGAATTGAAGAAGGACGCAATCCGAAAGAAGACTTCTTACTCGGATTACGAGCATACGTTATTCGTCGATTTTTCAGGATTAGGTATACATGTAGATTTGAAATGATCTCTTTACTTTGTACTTTTTTCTGCTGTTTTACGACTCCAAATTATGATAACCTGTTGTGAATCACATGTTCTCTCTAAAGATCATGGTAGATTTAGAGTCAATGTACCAGTGCTCGACCAGCCCAGTGCTCGACCAATAGGACTACATTGTACAAATACTCCAAGTTTGGTAGAAGTTGGGCCATTTTGCAGACGATATTAAACAGTATACTCGAACCCCATGATAGTTGATACCGGTGACTCAACGGTACCGGTATATTCACAAATCTCGCGATATTTTTGTCAACACCAACCCCCTACCAAGTGTTTATATTGACATGCTCCCAGTAATATTGGCTTTTCAAAGTTTTAAACATTTTCATGAGTTTCTGAAGGAAATATTTCACATATCCTACCTAATTTTTATTTTACTATCCTATGTTTCCATTGCATAAATTAGTCTCTCTACAAAACACTTTTTTTTCCAAGAAAATAAAAAATGACAGGTGGTGACGTCATTCAACCTCCGTTACATGTCACTTGACCTTTTTTGACATCATTTTTGGCGGGAAAAAATTAATCTATGGAAAGCCATTAGTGCATATAAAATAGTTTATGAAAATTAAAAAGTCAGTTTCATTCAGTCTTTTAAGTGAGTCTGTGTAAAGTGCCATATTGATATTTTATCTTCATCATATAGAAATAAAATTGATTCAATGATACAAAAGGACCAGACAATCACAACAACACTAAAATAAAGTGAAGGGGAATTTTTGAATCCAGCCACATGGTATAATATACACCTGTAATTGGGAGGAAAAGGTTCTTAAACAGAGATCCCTTGGGAGTCATAAAAGATGAACAGTAAATTATTGAAACACACGTTTTTATGTTGTTTTTAAGCATTTTTTTTTCAGATATGAAAACAAGAATTCTAAAATGATATATTTGCTATTAAAACTGCAATGGCTTTCCATATACCAGTGCACCGGTAGCATGAAGTCTGTTTAACTACGTCATACAAAATGGTCGACCATTGTTTACATTCGCAATGAGCAAGAATTTCAGAGTAACAGAACTCTGTGATGTAATTTTAAGAGGATTAAATGTTAATAAAGTTGTTTATTCCTTCTTTTTTTCAAGTAAGTAAATTTTTATATGAAAAACACCTTGTATAAAATATGTACACCGGTATCGTGGAGACCCGGGCTACACAAATACATTTTTAAAACAAGTAGCAGAGACATAGACACACCAATGTTTCACTCAATCTTACAAATCTGAATGTATCCTCTATACTAAATGGAAATGAGGCCTGGTATCACTATGGGGCACAAAATGACTCATTATTTTGAATTAGCCGCATTTAGTGACAACATGACCCCTTTCCTGTTGTCATAAAACCATGGGTCAATAATTAGTTCAGAACTCACTTGATTGTCAATAAGTGTTTACACACATGACTTTAGAACTAACAAAGAATGGTATAGATACATGCAAATTGTTAATTGATTGGGAGAAAGTGGTCATATAGCGGGATGGTCTCAATTTTATATAGAAAAACCATTTAAATATATATGTGGAGAAAATTCAGTTTTTTGAAGAATTGGTTGTATTAGCTCATCGGTTGTGAAAATTGGGTGGGTCTTTTAGTAACTGTACTTTACTGAAGGTATTCACTTGAAACTTTTGAATGAAATATGGCCCTTTTTGAACATATAATTTTTTTTTTCAATATTCATGAAAGTTTTGGTCTGCGTCCCTCAGCTTCTCAAATAAAACGTCACATAGGTGTGAAATCCTTTAATGTGAGAAATAGAATTTGGTCAAAAAGCACAATTAAATAATAATAATATAACAGTTATAATAAACAAAAAAGCAACAACAACAAAAATACAATTTGATTAAATCATTTCAAAAAGGGGGCAAATACTTTGTTTAAAATAAAGACATCAGGCAATATTTTTTTATTATCTTTATAATCCAAACTAATATGACTGTGACATAATGACATATTTTGATTTGGATTATAGAAATACTATAAAAAATTGTTACATAATTGTCTGGCTACAATAGTAAAACTGACTGTAACCTTAATAAACACAGAAGAATACAAAAAAGTATCAATCAATAAACATTTACATTTACAAATCTCATAGGAAATCAAAACAAGTAAAAAATTATGCACCCATTTAAGGCCTTTTCTGATACTTTTGCATTCCTTCAGATGAGCAAAAATATTTCATGAAAACCAACAATTAGAAAAATGTACAAAGATTTTAAGAAAAGTAAAAATATTTACAATTCAAGAAATAATTAACCTATTGTATACCATTAATTACTGATTTTGCAGTATTTAGCACCATATATTTCTACTGTGTTACTAGCGCAGTAAGGAATATTTTTCCAAAAATTGTGGATTACTTTTGGTAGTATTTATACATTTTAAGTGCTGTTTGCAATATGTGTGTTCACCTGATAATATTTCGTCACCTTAGTGCATAGCCCAACAAAGTGTGTGTTTTAGGGCTTTTTATTATAAAGACGATGGTCACCCTTTTTAAAGACAGCCATCTATGAAATACCAGGTTATAAAATCGATCGGTCTTTCAGTCGAAATATTGAGACTACTTAATGCAATAACTGATTAATTTCTATTAATTTTATAAGGACTTTTAACATTATTGCACAAAGAAGATGATTTTACTTTTTAATTCATTTTGAAAATTTCATATAAATAAGCATGAATCTGGAGGGGTGCAACTTTAAATTCAGCCAATCTTGATTTAAATTGTCGGTTTAAAATAAAGTCATTGCATCACTAACAAAGTATCAGAGTACACTGTTTGATATTTGATTTTTGGTCACTTGAGTAGTCACATGTGTAGATATAAGATAGAAAGTCCCTGTGATTTAATTATGTGTAACAATTGACGGCTAAGTGCAAAAAGGTCATATCAGAATCTCAAAAGTCACTGTGACTTGTATCTATCTAATCACAAATACTTGATGCAAAAAGGACATATCTTATTTTTTCCAATACTTGGTGGACCTGACACTTTGAAGTTGATAGGGCAACTTTTCAAGCTTTTGTGATGGAGAAAGACCTTGATAACTTATTTATAGTGTCTAGAAGTCTATTTTAAGAAACTTATACTTAAAAATCCAGTGAATAGCCTAAAATCATAAAGCTTGAAGACCTTTCATAAATCAACTGGTATACTTAAAATTGACAAGTATGCATAGATAATATATAAATATGCTTGGTATTAAATTGATAATCAATATTTATGCAGTTTTGAGTGAAATTTAAGCATTGCAAACGTTTTTCATTTTGGTGTCAATATTTACAATAAAATTGATTAGTCCTGGGGAATGGCCAAGTGATCGAATGATCATGAATTTTGTACACAAATTATTGGCCCAGAACTACATCCAATTTTACAAAAAATTAATGTTTTCAAGTGTTTTTAAGTGTCACTCAAGAATGATTTTAAGTAATCTTCATAGAAATATGTCTTGTTGTGCAAAATAAATCATTCTTAATAGAATCATCAGGACATTTTACCATGGGGCATATAGTTGTATGTTTGTCCATCCTTCCTCCACTCTTTCTGTCTCTGTGTTTCACTTACTTACATTATCTCATAGAATATCTTAGAAATTTATTATACCCCCACAAACGAAGTTTAGGGGGGGTATATAGGAGTCAGCTTGTCGGTCGGTCGGTCGGTTGGTCGGTCGGTCCGTCCGTCGGTCGGTCCACATCATGGTTTCCGGACAATAACTAGAGTTTGGAATGAGGTATTGTAATCAAACTTGGTATATAGCAACCTTATGTGGAAACTCCGGTTGGTATTGCATTTGGACCCCCTGGGGTCAAGGTCAAGGTCACCGTTATTAAAAATAGAAAAATGGTTTCCGGACAATAACTAGAGTTAGGAATGAGATATTGTTATCAAACTTTGCGTATAGCAAGCTTATATGAAGACCTGGGTTGGTATTGCATTTAGGCCCCCTGGGGTCAAGGTCAAGGTCACCGTTACTAAAAATAGAAAAATGGTTTCTGGACAATAACTTTAGTTTGGAATGAGAGATTGTAATCAAACTTGGTGTATAGCAAGCTTATATGAAGACCTGGGTTAGTATTGTATTTGGACCCCCTGGGGTCAAGATCAAGGTCACCGTTACTAAAAATAGAAAAATGGTTTCCGGACAATAACTAGAGTTAAGAATGATATATTGTTATCAAACTTGGTATATAGCAACCTTATGTGGAAACTCTGGTTGGTATAGCATTTGGACCCCCTGGGGTCAAGGTCACCGTTACTAAAAATAGAAAAATGGTTTCCGGACAATAACTAGAGTTACGAATGAGATATTGTTATTAAACTTGGTGTTTAGCAAGCTTATATGAAGACCTGGGTTGGTATTGCATTTGGACCCCCTGGGGTCAAGATCAAGGTCACCATTCCTAAAAATAGAAAAATGGTTTCCGGACAATAACTAGAGATAGGAATGAGATATTGTAATCAAACTTTGTGAAAAGCAAGCTTATTTGGAGACCCCAGTTTGGATTACAATTAATTAAAATATTTCTTTGTACACAGTTGATAGTTTGTGTTGAAATTTTTCTTCAGACTACTTATTTTTCAAAAAGTTGCTGGTGGGGGTATTAATCACCTTCAGTGATAGGTCTAGTTAAATTTGTATTTCACATTGACCTCTGTTCTTTATAAGGGTTTCAGGTCAAGGTCAGGACCTCTGTTCTTTATAAGGGTTTCAGGTCAAGGTCAAGAAATTTATTGTATTGACCTCTGTTCTTTAAAAGGGTTTCAGGTCAAGGTCAAGAAATTTATTGTATTGACCTCTGTTCTTTAAAAGGGTTTCAGGTCAAGGTCAAGAAATTTATTGTTTTGACCTCTGTTCTTTAAAAGGGTTTCAGGTCAAGGTCAAGAAATTTATTGTATTGACCTCTGTTCTTTAAAAGGGTTTCAGGTCACTGAGACTATAAATAGATTATAACTGCTTTTCCTCCTAATTAATCATTTATTTTTTATGCATATTTCATATAACTATAGTCAAAGGTTGGAAAATGATATTTTTTTATCATAACTTCCTCTTTTTTTACTTTATACAACAGAGTCCTATGAAAAGTCTCTTATGAAAATTTGTTTAAAATCATGCAAATATACAAAAAAAATCCATACTTGCACTGGTCAGCTTTTTGGCTTGCAGCCACGGCTGCAAGCCATTTCATCTGGAAAACTTGTTCCGGTTAGGTGGTTTCCTGCTTACATCTGTTGGTGCATGATTGAACGGGAAACCAGCTGCAATCGTGCCAATCGCAACTTTTCGGCCTTTTCCGTCAGTCTTCGGATTAATGATAATAGCCGATGTAGTTCCGATTGCAATCGTGACAATTCGGGCGATTCCGTCATACTGCGAAGTAATATTACGGAAATCTAAGCTATTTTAGTTACTTCGGTAATCCCAGTTTGTGTATATAAATAGGATTTTTCTATTTTTACTTGATTTATCGGTTTTTAAACCGTAATAAATTATAAACGAAATTGTTCCGTTTCATTTGTTTTTCAAGACGCAAAAGTTAGTTTCTTTTATAATTGTTTTTTGTCTGTATTAGTTTTATACAATAGAGGATGGTGACTGTAGTATTATTCCGTCTTCAAAGGGTGGTCCTGCTTACCAAATCACGCACGATCGAGTTATATTTAGATCTACTGAACGCAATTCAACTTCTTGGTGAGGTAATCTAAAAATAGCCCATGCATATCATTAACCTTGCCACGTGCTGATCTATGTATCATAGTTGATACATGCTTATTAATTGTACCACGTAACGAAGTATTTTTTAGTGCATTTACTTGTCTATAAAGCAAAGGAATGATTTTCGCTGGCGAAAAAGGGGAAATGAGATGTGCACACTTGTTTTCCTTCAGTATCACGTTAATATTTTTACGATTGATCATTTTCTTTATTAGTTTTATACAATAGAGAATAGATCTAAATCGTTTTGACAAAAAAAATTTCGGTTTTCCAAAAAAAACAAAAAAAAAACTAAATAAACCCTTTATGATATACAAATACCGTAATTCAAAAAAAAATGTGATAATAAATTGAGACCCAAAAAAACCCCCAATTTTAAAGGGTTGGGATGAAGGCACAACTGTGCAAGCCTTTCCTTTTAAAAGGAAACTTTATTAGCTTTATACTTTACCAAATCAGCAATTTAGCAACAATAGTTCCAAAAATCAAGAGGGTATGGCCTCTTTCTAATAAAGAGGAAAACCCTAACTTTAGTCATTTTCTTCCATTAGAGAAGGTCTACATGTTCTACATAGAAAAAAGTGGGATCTGAGGGAAGAATGTAACTCTTGTATTACATTTATGGAATTCTTAGAATGGTCCCAGGCCTTATTAAAATTCATTTACAGTTCTAGCTGCAAACTTTTAATGAAGAACTAGAAAGAAAATTAAATGTCCTGTAGAAAAAAATTTGCGACTCATTTCTCACTTAATACTTATTTACTTCATACATGTATTTATTTACAGTTAAACTTCGTTCGCTCGAACTCGGATCGCTCGAATACCTCCCTTCGCTCGAACTCATCGCCCAGTCCCGGCAAAATTCCTATATAATATATGTTGTTCTACCTCGGATCGCTCGAACACCGATCGCTCGAACTCTCGAACCTGATCTCTAGTCCCTTCGGCAGAAATATAGTGAAAATCACACCTTTTTGGTCGAACACAAAAAAAGACAAGTCGGTATGTCCTAAATAAATGACTGTCGGCGCCACATGTTTTTAACACCTCGTGATCGTGACAAAGGTAATAAAGGTTAATTGATACAAAAAAGAGGTGTTGTAACCGATTTATTTGTATGATAATATTTGTTGATTTTGCCGTTTTATGGTAACGATAAAAAGAAAAAAACTTGTGAAATAAGTGAAATATGCATGCCAATAAAGAATGACGTTTACCCGGACGGCTTTAATTACAACCGTGGGTTATCTAAAGTGATATCTATTTATAGAATGATACTTGTATGTGTGTTTATTTTAGTAAATGACTACAAATAGATGCTGCTGTAAATGTTTTAATAAATATTTCATTAATTTTATTTTTAAAATTAAATTCATCCCATTATAAACATATAAATATATTTTATACATTGTTCAACAAGATTGGTGTAATTGCCCAATCGAACTCAACCAATAACAATATGCATGAATATAGATGAACACAGCGTACCGTTAATACTTAATTTAAACACTGGGATAATAATTCTACATATGAAATATTCGACGAATAGATATACTAACAAACAATTATATTGACGCATTTATCATTCGACCGATGTAAGCTAGGAAAACCTTTAGGCATATGATCAACGTAATAATAGTTCAACCACGGTTGGCTCGAACTACCGATCTCTCGAACAAATTTGCACAGGCCCTCCGAGTTCGAGCGAACGAAGTTCGACTGTATATTGTTATAAAGGTATATATACTTATTGTTATTGTGATATTATGTATGTATTTATAAACTTTGATATCAGTGACAGATTTGATGTCATAAATCACTGATTATCATTGTTTATAGACATAATTATCATACTATAATTATCTTATCAAATTTTTGAAGTGCGATTTAACTAGTGATGGAAATCGGATGAAATTTGTCCCAATCGATCATCGGTTCAATCGGATGGGACATAATCGATAACTTTCCGATTAAAGTCGCGTTAAAAAAAAATAGGGAAGAAACATTATTTCCCAAGGAACTTGATTTTATTTTGTAACATGAACTTTATTTAGCACTTTTCAACACAGTTTTAACCCTACTTAGTTATTATTTTACGAAATAGATTTAATTTTCCAATGGATGTCAAATAATAACATTCACATCACATAATATATTTATTTACTATTGTTTACATCACGTATTGATCTTATTCAACTCAAAATTGTCTCTGAGATATTTTTTTTGCGATCGGCAAGGTGTTCCTAAAAGAAAATTACCGCCAGAATTAATTCGTTTTGATACTTTAAACATTTTCGACGACGTCGCGGAACAATTTTTTGTGAATCGATTATTGTCGTTTTACATAACAGTAACTGATTATCAGCGACTTGCGACAATCGGAACATCACTAGATTTAACAGTGTGCACTTAAGTACATATCATATGTACCTGTAATTTCCCTAGATATTAAAAGTATTCAGATTCCTTGACCTTATAGGGTTTTCATTGTTAACAGATTGGGGATCCATATCATTGGCTGAAATGCTCTTAAAATCGATTGTATTTTAGCCTGTTGATTAAAATAATCCCCCTTCACCCTTGGTTAAATCAGTTTGTTTTCATTGGCAAATCTGTAAGCTCAGATAAAATGAAAACCCTGACCTTATCACGCCAAAGGTCTTTGAACTTTTCGATCTTCAAATTTGGGCAAAACCATTCATCATTTTGAGGGAAATTTTCAACATAACTTTAATTGATTGAGTAGCAAAAAGTACAGACCATGGCATGGTTATATTCATTTGCCAACAGCTTCTATAATTATGTTAAATTGATTATGATTGCATTTAATAATTATGTTGAAATTAACTTTTCCGTTTTTTTCTTCTTTTTTTTGTTTGTCTATAAAAAAACAAAAAACAATTGGTTAAAGTAATATAATGGAGTCACCAAAATAATGAATATTTACTTGAGCTTGATTAAATTGTAATCTTATGCACCAAAACAGCTCTAGTTCCCGGGCTTCCAAAACTTTATAAGCTGCTTTTTTTAACATATTTTTCTTTTGTCTGCTTTGGCATTAAAGTCTTGAATCAGACCTTACCAGAATAAGACACAGTCACAGCATAAAAATGGGTACATATGCACTGAAGACCTTAAGCTTGAACTGCTCCAATACATTATTGCTAATAGGAAAAAAAATTCAGAATAGAAAAAAAACCCCTTGAAAATGAAATCCAATTTTCTAATTAATATCCATTTCAGGAACTCTATCAAAAATGGCATGTGGCCCACAAAACTATGGAATTTGGAGGTTCTGATTGGCCTGCTATCCATATTGCTGGTCACTGATTGGTCTATGGCTCAGCCAATCACAGCCAAGCTTCACTGGATAGAGGAGTGCTTACATATACCGCAAGGTAATTTTGAATTTTCCTTATACATTATACATGTATTAATTTTGTCTGTAAAGTGTTTTAAGTCTCTTACTTTTAAGTACTTCCATAGGGAGCACTCTTATTGGTATCATATGTTGGATCAAGCTTCTATGGTAATTGATTTTTAGACAGTTCAAAGTACCTGGCAGCATACATATTGGTATTCATATATTAATTATATATGTATACAGGCCTTGCAAAATCAATAGGTATTATTATGCCTCACTATTTTTGTAATGTTAATTTCCCATCAGAATTCTTTTCTTACTGTAAATTCAAACTTAAATTGCAATTTTGTATGTTCTAATATTTAAAAGAACATAGAATTTAAAGGAGGTTTAAAATTAATATTCAAAATTAAAGTGCAATTTTGTATGTTCTATACAAAATAATACTGAATTTGGTAGGTATATTGCCATATTTTCACTTGGTTAACAAAGTACATACTTATACATTTTATTTTATGTCAAATCAAGAACATAACCAAATTGGTTGGTATAGCAACATGTATTTATGGATGACCTTTGATCTTTGATTTATTCTATTTTACAGACTGGCCATTGATAGTGAGAAGTTTACTTACATCATGTATAGCTGGGTTTGTGTTCTTCATTATACTGTTATATATACGAAGATATACTCTTAGAATTCTTCTGTCGTACAGAGGCTGGATGTGTAAGTTTTTTACGTCTTTCATTTGAGTACGCTGTCCAACTAGCTTAAACTAAGATAATTGCTCGTTTATGCAGGGTTTTCATTTTTATATGAGGCAACATAATGATTATGTACCGCTGAAAACAAACCAATTTGGCCATGGTTAAAAGGGATATTTTAATCTACACGCTGAAAATTCAACTGATTTTAACCGCATTTCATCTGATGGTATGGATCATCCAATCTGATTAAAGTTCAGATCTTCTTATTTCTTTTTATGTAGATCTGATGACGACCGTATATGTTTTGCCTTCTTTATAACTTTTCAAACCAGTTTTTACATAGGCATTAGAAGAAGTATCGAATTACCACTAAGTGGAAGTTAAACAAATTGTTGATTTTTTGTTAGAAAAAAAGATATTTGATGTAATTTTTAACAAATTAACTTGTAATAATAGTGTCAATTTTAATGGGCAAGATTGTTCTGCCAGTTTACCTGTGGGCTATATGGACAAAGCCATGTTTGTTCTTGAAATAGTGAAAAATTGCCTACTCATTATTGGTTTTCCCCAGGGTTAAAATTAGAAACCACATCTATTGTAAGAAATTTAGGAGGTGAAATAACTTTGTAACAATATATATTACAGATGAGCAGCCTAAGACTCAGGCATTTTCTACGTTGGTTTGGGGGCTGATGGTAAAGTTAGTGAGTGGCAGTCACCCATCACTGTATGGATGTCAACAGAGTTTACCAAAGTATGTGGAAATCATGATAATTTTTCATTCATTTAATAATGGTGTTTTAAACTTCTTATTCTTGGAAAGTAATCATTGTTACACATTTTTGTTTGTAATAATAACATAATTTATTTATTTTATTTTTTTTTCTCCTAACTTAATAAGATAAATCTTATTTATTATTATTTATGCTAGATTTTTTTCGTAATAACATTTTGTTTTGTGTGTGTGTGTGTGTTTTTTTTTGTGTTTTTTTTTGGCTTATTTCTCAAATAAATATTGACGTGTAAATAATTTTGGGAATCAATTAAACAAGCTTTGTTTTATGATGGAATTCTTATTTAGGGGTCTATTTAAAGGGACTCCACTGAGGTTTTTGACATGATGGGACCGAAAATTTTTTTTCAGATAAATGTACCATTTGATGTAGGTTTAGACCACTAATCTTTGAGCAAAATTTCAGATCATTTGCACACTTCATTTTTCCAGAATAATTATTCAAATTGTAAAAATGATGACCCAAAATGAAAAGCAATTAAACACTTTTCACTCAAATCGTGCTAAGAAAAGCATAAAAATATGATTTTCAATTTATTTCTGGGTATATTTTTTAACTATCTTTGCATATATTTCTGTTTAAAGTGCCTCAGCTCATTTATGTAAGAAATTCAAATGTTATGTTTTTAGACTTTTAAACCTCAGTGGAGTCCCTTTAAAATATGTTTATATGGGATATGATATGTATATCAGATTGTGTTACAATTATAATAAATCATAACATTATTTATATTATATTTATGTTATATTTCATAATCATGTTCTCACCTTAGTGCAGAAACAGATTAACTCCTATTAAATTTAGAAGAGTTAAACCATTATTGCACTATAAGGTGACAATATTGGTTCAGTAAAAATGACAGGTTTTTGTGAAAAAATAATTGTTTTTGCTTAAAATATAATTGTTTTTGCTGAAAATATAATTGTTTTTGCTGAAAAAATGATTGGTTTAGTGAAAAAAAAAAATTGTTTTTGCTGAAAAAAGATGTTTTTTTGTAAAAAAATAAGGTTCGTTTTTATAAAAAATTATATTCTGGTAGTCCATTGCGTTTTTTATGGAAAAGGTTGAATAAAACAATATAACACTTCCCAGTGACTCACATATTATGTTATTCAACTCGTTCAATAATTTATTATTGAAGCTACCATTAATCAATTTCCTGTATGTATAAAATATACCATATTGGGTTATGTTTATTTACTTTTTTTCTTTTCCAATAATCAAGTTCATTTTACCTTATATAGTTTAACCAAGAAATGTCTTACTGTATTATAATTGAGTAATTATTCAACAAGCACATTTTTTCTAAGTTTTATTTTTGTTTCACATTAGCTGAAGTTAAAATCTTATCCAAAATATAGATTTAAATAATTAATTCAACAAAATCACACAAAAAGTTGCTTACTACTTAAATGACAGCCTGAAGGACTCAAGTTCAAGTGTCAAGGACTTGTTTCTACAATAATGCTTTAAACTCTTAATGCATCATACGAAGATTTTAAAGATATCTTGAGTTTTATCTCTTTTTGCATACATTTAAACCCTATTACATTAACAATATCATATGAAAATAAAATTTATAAATTCTGAAAATAGGAAGGACTATCATTATAATTTGACATTATAAGCCCCAGAGCAGTTATTTTACTTTGAGGTTTTATTGACAGTAAAACTGCATTCTATATATTTATAACTTTAGTGTCAACTTTGGTCTATACACATATTTAAAAATGTTAGACTACAATTTTAAAGGTCCATTTTGTTCAAGAAATGCTTTATTTTCATGATTTAAAAGTTTTATTTTTGGTGTCTTGTTAATATTTCTTGAGTAGTTACTCACTTGCCAATTACCTGGACTGTTGTTTACTTCTGTTGATTTTTTCATCATTATTACAAACATTATATTCATCATCATCATTATCATCATTATTAGTGTTATCATCATAAACAAGGACATCATTATCACCATCATCATCTGTGTGATCATCATAAACAATGACATCACCATCATCATCAGTTTTATCATCATAAACAATGACATCATCATCACCATCATCATCAGTGTTATCATCATTAACAATTCCATCGTAATCATCATCATCACCATCATCATCAGTGTTATCATCATAAACAATTCCATCGTAATCATCATCATCATCACCATCATCAGTGTGATCATCATAATCAATGCCATCATCATCATCATCATCATCATAAGTGATATTTTTAATACTATTCCTATCACACACAACTGATGTGAATAACATTTTAATATGATATCATAATGGTAGTTATATGTTATTTCAGCATTACTTACTTTTGGGTGTTTTTTTTTTTTTTTTTTCAGGCAGCCGGTCCCCAACTTGAAACAAACCTTAAAAAGTCTCATACAATCACTGAAACCTCTGTATGGGGAACACTCAGAAATCATTCAAGATCTCAAGAAAGAATCCAAAGAATTCCAGAAAACCCTCGGACCAAAGTTACAGAGAATTTTATACCTAAAGTCATGGTGGGCACAAAACTATGTGACCGATTTTTGGTAAGGAAGAATCTAACTTTTCTTGATTCAGGAAGTTATATCCTTTCGAAGTTTAGTTCAGTAGAACAGTTAGGCCGACCTTCTTGGAACTGCATGTTTGTAACATCAATTTTCATTGGTTAATCATGTCATTTGTAACATCAATTTTCATTGGTTAATCGTGACATTTATGTTTAAGTATATAAATGGCACAATTCCTTGATTTTTTAACAAAAAATTAATATAACTGCATGAATTGATTCATGAATGTATATAGTTTATATTACCTCGGGATTATCCTATGAACAGTGATATTACTAAAGTGTAGTATTATAAACATGAACAGAATAGTTATAAAGTATATAAATCTATATATCTACTGACTGTATGTAACAAAATTAATATTTGAATTTTGAAAAAAATAATAATTTCAAAATACAATGTACCTGTATAAAAGAAATGTGCTAAAATATCACCTTTGAGGGCATAAATTGCAAGAAATTTGGATTTGAATCCACTAGTCTGGTCGGACTACCAGATTGGAATATTCACTAGCCCAGAAGACATTTCACTAGCACGATTCATTTGTTTAAAACGTTTGTTTATATTGCCTCTGAAAATAGAGTAGCCTTGTAGGGCTTGTTACTGTGAAAAGTTGGTAGCCCGAGGGGAAATTTAGTAGTCGGGGATTATCGGACTACTGCTAATTTCGAACACTGTGAGGGTGAGTCAATAATGCACAAAATCATTGCAATGGTTGAAATCCCTACTGAAACAGTCATCGAATTTAGCACTGGCCCAGTGTTAATTAGTTCGAGCCAGTGTTAATTTTAAGAAAATTTAGTTAAATATACATGTATAGTAGAATAAATTCAAAACTGGAATTCGGGCCAGTAAATTCATAATCTTAAATTCATTGACTGCTAAAAATAGTAGCAAAATAATTTGTTCCAAAACATTTTAATTCTGTTAACATACAATATTCATGTGTGTTGAATAACAAGGCATTTTATGTAAGGACTCTTTCCATAATAAACCATAAGATTAAAGTATACAGTATATAAAGATATTTCATGAGATAAAAGTTTTATACACTTAAAGCTAAGATGTTAATAAGGAGATTTAAGAGGATGTTCTTTAAGAATGAAAAAATATATGTAAAGTATTTGTATATTATTAAAATATTTCCTGGATAGCATGAGGAAGTAGAGATCAGTCGGTGTATTAGGTTTGTTCTTGGAATATATTAATGATATGACTATACACCATACACATAGTTAAAGTCCGCCAAAGTTTGTCTTCCAATGACATCGCTCTATTTTGTTTAAATTTTTTTGCCGAAATATTTACCATACAGTGCTGTAACTCAACTGTATGTTTTAAATTTATATGTTAAACGAGTCAATTTAATGGATTCCGCCTATTTACATAATGTACTTGATTTGAATGTGCGGGGCTAACTGTAAGTCGATAATAGTTCACTTTGTTTGCTTGAAAATTAATTTCTTAAAACTCTGTATATATAACTTATAACCTATTCATATAGAGGATATTTGTTTGTTGAAATATATTTCACTGAGTGGATACCAGATGCAATATTTTTACAAGTGGCATAGCCACAAGTGAAAATATAATAGCTGGTGTTCACAAGTGAAATAAATAGAAAAAAATAATAAGATAAATTGATAAAATAACAATATGGTCATAATAAAAAAAAAGTTTCAAAAATGTTTCTGTTCTTTTTTACTTGCAGGGAGAAGTATGTATTATTGATAGGGAGAAGTCCTTTACCAATAAACAGTAAAGAAAATATAATCAGATAAATTGATAAAATAACAATATGGTAATAATATAGAAGTTTCAAAAATGTTTCTGTTCTTTTTACTTGCAGGGAAAAGTATGTATATTTGATGGGGAGAAGTCCTTTACCAATAAATAGTAATTATTATATAATGGACCAAAGTTATGGTCAACCTACAACCAATCAGGTAGCCAGGTAAGCATTAAATATGTACATTCATTGGTTTAAACATATTTATTCAAGCTCAATTGCAAAAAAAAAAGTTCTTGCAACTTATAATAATCACTTCCAAGTCTGCTTCCTGTAACCAACCAGTACTGGTGTCCCATATGAAGAAGACCCAAGTAGAGCTAGAACCCATGATGATGATGATCCTTGGGTTGAGAGGCAGACACCTTAACTGCTAGGCCACTGTTCCACTGTACCCCTAAATTTGTGTAATGGATTGCCCTGCTCTGGAACAGTCCATTTCAAAGGGTTTTTATATCAAAATATATAACTACATTTTGACATGATGTCATTTGTGTTATATACAAAAAAGGTTAAATGTTAGCATTACACTTTAAGCTTGTTAACAATAAATGACTCTTTTAATCTGGACTCTTTTAATCTGTCAATCTTTCTTATTATATGCCCGAAAGGGCATATTATGTTATACCCCCTGGCGTCCGTCTGTCTGTACGTCCGTCCGTCCGTTAGCAATTTGGTTTCCGGAGCACAACTTAAGTTCCATTTGGCCCACAATGTTCAAACTTCATAGGATGATTGTCCATATTGGGTAGAAGACCCCTATTGATTGTGGGGTCAAAAAGTCAAAGGTCAAGGTCACTATGACCTTAAAACTGAAAACAGTTTCCAGAGCATAACTTAAGTTCCATTCGACCCACAATGTTCAAACTTCATAGGATGATTGTCCATATTGTGTAGAAGACCCCTATTGATTTTTGGGTCTCAAGGTCAAAGGTCAAGGTCACTATTACCTTGATACTGAAAACAGTTTCCGGAGCATAATTTAAGTCCAATTGGCCCACAATGTTCTAACTTCATAGGATGATTGTTCATATTAAGTAGAAGACCCCTATTGATTTTGGGGTCAAAAGGTCAAAGGTCAAGGTCACTATTACCTTAAAACTGAAAACAGTTTCCGGAGCATAACTTGAGTTCCATTCCACTCACAATGTTCAAACTTCATAGGATGATTGTCCATATAAGGTAGAAGACCCCTATTGATTTTGGGGTCACAAGGTCAAAGGTCAAGGTCACTATTATTTTGATACTGAAAACAGTTTCCGGAGCATAACTTAAGTTTCATTTGACCCACAATGTTCAAACTTCATAGGATGATTGTCCATATTGGGTAGAAGACCCCTATTGATTTTGGGGTCAAAAAGTCAAGGGTCAAGGTCACTATATCCTTAAAACTGAAAACAGTTTCCAGAGCATGACTTAAGTTCCATGAGGCCCACAATATTCAAGCTTCATAGGATGATTGTCCATATTGGGCAAAAGACTCCTATTGATTTTGGGGTCACTAGGTCAAAGGTCAAGGTCACAATTACCTTAAAACCAAAAACAGTTTCCGGAGCATAACGTAAATTCCATTTGGCCCACTATATTCAAACTTCATAGGATGATTGTCCATATTGGGTAGAAGACCCCTATTGATTTTGGGGTTACAATGTCAAAGTCACTTTTACCTTAATACTGAAAACAGTTTCTAGAGCATAATTAAAGTTCCAATTGGCCCACAATATTCAAACTTCTTAGGATGATTGTCCATATAAGGTAGAAGACCCCTATTGATTTTGGGGTCACAAGGTCAAAGGTTAAGGTCATTATTAATAACTTAAGTATTAATCAACCTACAGCTGTAAAATTTTATAGGATGAACAGCTAATTCCCATGTCTTACAAATGCTTAAAAAAAAAACACTTTCGGGCATATGATGCTCCGCCTAGCGGTGCTCTTGTCTTAAATATGTGATAAATAGAATATTATATATTGTGTAGATTAAATTCTACATTTATTGAACTCATTGAATAAAACAATATCATGCTCGCCATGTCAGATGCTTGCATTGCATTATTTTATTCGACAGAGTAAATTTTTAATGGGCAAGATTGTTTTGCCAGTTTACCTGAAACCCCATGGACAATGGGAAAGTTTTGTTCTTTAAAACATGAAAAATTTTCCAACTCCCGTATTGGTTTTCCCAAAGGTTTTAAAAAAAAAAAAACCCAAAACTTTTTTAAAAAATAAAAGGGAAAGGGTTGCCAATAATTTGGGTTCCCTTTAAAAAAACCCAGAGAAAGGGTGATTTTCCCATGGGGGATGTCAGAAACCTTAAAACGTAGGTTATTTTTGGAGCTGAATTAATGATATTGGGGCTCATTTAATATTTTCCCCTATGATTTTACTTTTAAATTTTTAGGGGAGCTAATGTGATTTTTAAACCCTTTTATGGGTGGGTAAAAACAGAAAAAAAGACAGAGGGAAAAAATTTGGAACCCCCCTTTTCTTTTTACAAAACCCCCTATACCTGTCCCGTAAAGGGGCAGTACGAACGAGCATTTTCTACAACGAGGGTACCAGGCGAGGAAATGGACACTCTTGTGCATTACGAATCATCAGAATCAAAGGTAAACATAAAAATTGTTGTTGTTGTTTTTTTTGTTATGAGGAATAAAGGCTTAACCCTTTCGCTGCCAGAGGGTTATTTTTTATTGATCACCTATTTGCCAGAGGGTTTTCTAAGAAATTACTATATTATTAATTAATATAATCATTATTATTTGATTTAGTATTATAATAATTATATATGTTTCCAAATCTGTGAGTATAATAATAATTATTGTCGATGGTATAATTTCCTTTATAATTATTATTATTTTATTATTATTATTAATTTATTATTATTACTATTATTATTATAGAAACGGCTAAAGCCGTCCATATGGCAAATACGCCGAAAATAACAGGGACGGCTTAAGCCGTCCCTATGGCAGTGAAAGGGTTAATAAAGGCGTTTTTATCGATTGACAAGAATGGTGAAAATTTTAAATTTCACAAGAAATTTCCCAAATTGTGATGATTTAGAACTTAACCTGCCAGCATTAAAATATAAATAGATTTCTATACGTATCAATGAAATATTCAGAGTGATATCCAGGATTTTCATTATTAACCGATTGGCGATCCAAACCATCGGTTAAAATGCTGTTAAAATAGGTTGTATTTTCAGCCTGTTTATTTAATTATCACCCTTGACCCTTGGCAAAATCGGTTGTTTCCTTTGGAGCATCTATTGCTTCAGATAAAAATGAAAACCCTGCATATCTAGTTTGATGCTGCCATTTTCAATGTAATTCAATGATAACAGACAGGGTATTTCGATAACGGAACAATCGCAAGGTTTCAACTTAATAATAATCGTCAAGGGATTCCATGTGAAAACAGAAGCGTGCATGAAATACCAAAAGACTCCTTTACAATGGAAAAATTATCGATATTTTGAACCAAATTCCCCATTTTTATAGGCTTTGCCTAATGTCATATTATTATTATATTTAAAAAATGTTGTCCAAGAATACTGAATGCTTGTTTATTGATGAATTTTTCAGTTTGTTATAGTAAACAGGAAAGGAATATTTTATAAGTTAGACATGTATGATAGTAACAGAAAACTAGTCACACCAGCAAACCTTCAAAAACAACTACACTGGATCATGCAAGATGCTGAAAAACATATAGGTATGCCTCTCTTGAATAAAAAAAAGTAGAATGGTTCTCATTTTATTGTGAAATTTATTCAAAGAGGTTTTCATATTATTTTCAGAAAATAGAATGGTTCTCATTTTGATTTTGTTTTTTCAAGTAGAATGGTTCTCATTTTATTGTGAAAAATAACTGGAACAGTTTACATATTATTTTTCAGAAAGTAGAATGGTTCTCATCTTGTCTTTAAAAAGAAACTAGAATGGTTATCATTTTATTGTGAAAAATAACTGAAAGTTTCCATATTAATTAAGAAAAAAGAGTGGTTCTCATTTTTTTTTTGAAGTAGAATGGTTATCATTTTATTGTGAAAAATACTATTCTGTATCTGTTATTTACAGAGTCATACAGCGAATCAGAGAGAAGTCTACCAGCATTGACAGGCGTGGAGAGGAACGAATGGGCGGCTGTGAGAAAACAGTATTTCAGTGACGGCATTAACGCAGAATCTCTGGCAATGATGGAGAAATCTTTATTTCATGTAATTTCGTTAAACCTTACAATGCTAAATACAGTAGAAATTCCATGAGTCGAACTTCGATAAGTTGACATTCTCGATATACCAAAATAACATGAAAGTTTTCTTTTTTTTCCTTTATATATTCTTTATAAAAGCATAAACATGAAAAGAAATTTTATTTGTTGAAATTTTTGATGTGTTGAAGTTTTTTCATGGTCCGTATAGAATAAATCAAGTACAATTTACGATGAATAAGTCGTACTCAAGTTTTTACGTAAGTCCCTGCAATTTCGACTTACCAAAGTTCTACTGTATCTTAAATGGACTTGTCCATCTTCTAGCCTGGACACAATCATTCAGTTGTTTGCTTATTTGTATATAAAAAAATATGTAAGATTTTATATATCTTCAAATGGAACACATAAAGTGTTTGTACATGTAGTAATAAAGTTAGAGTCAAATGGTTATGCTTCATCAATTAACCATAGCATTTATAAAAAAATTAGTAGTCTTTTAATTTTGTGTGTCATTTTCTCGAAGGAATAATGTAAACATATTTCTTTTGTATCGGTATTATGGAACATTTTCTTATTGAATTCAAATATTTACTTTGTATTCTAAATGCAGCAGACTTACAGCTTCACTAATAAAATTAACTTAGAAGACTTTAAATTTGTAAATTCCATATTAATTTTGTCATGTACTTTATGATTTAAGCAGTTGATTTATTTCATTTGCAGTTACTTCTAAGCGACGAAGTAAATGAAGATTTCTCCTCTCGAGCCAAGCATTTATTTTTTGCTGATGGTAAATCTATATGGTTTGATAAATCATTCACAATAATTGTGTCCCGTGATGGTAGATTTGGCATAAATGGTGAACATTCCTGGGCCGACGCTCCTGTTATTGGTCATATTCTGGAACACAATTTAACATATGAGTAAGTCATCTTATATTTATATTTTCACATTTCACATCATTCATAACCATTTATCTGCTGGAACTTAAAGTTCCTTAAGTTTGTGCCAACAGTATACAGCCTGCCCAGTCGAGACCCCCTTACAGTCTGGACCAGGCTGCTTCATTTTTAACATTGACTTTTTGAAAGAAAAAAGAGCAATTGCTACAGTCATACTGTGGTTCGCATTTGCTGTCCAAAAACTTTAACATTGGTCATAATGTTTTTATTTCTCAGTAGATTGCACTTCATATTTGATCAAAACAACCTTTTAGACAAGTCAAATATTTAAGTTGACAAGACTTATCTTGACCTTCACTCATGAATGTCTTTGACTTTGAAGGTCAAATGTTTAACTTGACTTTAATTCATAAATAACTTTGACCTTAAAGGTCAATTTAACTTGACCTTAATTCATAAATTACTTTGACCTTTAAGGTCAAATGTTTAAATTTTGGGTGGATTTTTGCTATATTTGCCTCTAACTTTATTTTCAAATGGATTGTCTTTATATTTGGACACAACAATTCTTAATGTAGACCAAATTGATGATGACCTTGACTAAATAATGACAATTGACCTTAAAGGTCAAACTATTGAATTTTATTTATAAATGGAATGTCTTCATACTTGAGCACATCTACCTTAAGGACAATGTATTAAAGAAGATCATACTTAACTTGACATTGACCTATAAATAACTTTGACCTTGAAGGTCTTATTATTGCAATTTCACAGCTTTTTTTGCTAAAATTGACTAAAATTTTGTTAGTTATAAGCATACAGAAGAAATTGTACTTAGATTTCATTTAACTTTACTTTAACCTTAAATTGACCTTGTCTGGCAAAATCAAGTTATCTAAAGTTGCATAAATTATCATTACTTTGTTATTTATTTGCTGACTTTATATTTGGACAAAAGAAATACAAATGACTAAATGGACCTGCCAAATTATTCTGATATGACCTTGACCTTTAATTAACCTTGACTGTCAAGATCAAATTATTGAAATTTACTTAATTTGTCATATTTTATTATTTATTTACAGATACGTTTTATACTTTGACAAAAAGAGCACATATGGCTTGATGATTTATTCAAATGTGACCTTAACCTTTGAATGACCTTGACCATCAAGGTCAAATATGAAATTTGAGTTATATTTTGTTCAAGACAGTTAAATGTATTCTAGGAGTATTCTTTGCTGCAATATTCTTTCTTCAATGTGTTTGCCTATAAAAGTAAGAAAAAGTTGAGCATGGTCCCTGTCTGGCGTCGGCTCTTGTTGTATTTTAAAAAAGATATCCTGTAAGCTTCAAATGGATAGGCAAAATATTAAGTCAAGCAAATCCATTACAAAAGTACAGCAGATGAATGGTTAAGATTAGTTCATACAAATTTATTTTAGTTTGCTTGTATTAGAAGCTTTGAGCTTATTGAAACACTCTAGAATCGGTTCCTGGAAGTAACCAGTACTAAGTATAAGTGTAAAGTTTCTTGCTCACAGAAACAATGGCTTGACCCTGACCCGGTTTAAACCCATGCAGCCGGCAATACTAGTCAGAGCCGTTAACCACTCGGCCACTCCACCACTCATTGTGGTGAAGATACAATGAAAATTTGAAATTACTTTTATTAAAGAATAGGTTCTGTTATAAATTTTTTGTCATCTGAAGACAGAAGGCAGGTACAATTGTTATTATATAAAAAGAATATTTTGAAATAATGCTAAATATGTCATAGTGTCACTGTATATTTTATTCTGAACAAAGGCTACATATTGTGATTCCGTTGGATGATTCTGTACAAGGCCTTCATAATCTGATTCCATTCTTTACATGGGCCACATGCAATGTATTTTAATCCAATTCCATACATGGGCTTCATATTTAAATTCTTTTCTGTGTTCTGTACTTAGGATGCATACTTTATTTTCATTCTGTATATTTGCTACTTATTGTAGTTTTATTTTGTACATGGGCTACATACATATTTTTAGTTCATTCTGTTCATGTACTGCTGCTACTGCATAATTTGATTTTATTCCAAACATGGGCTACATAATGATACTCCCACCTCATTGGGTGAAGGGGGCTATATTAGTATTACTTTTGTCACCTTAGTTGGTCAGGCAGGCAAACATTGGGTCTGTCCGTCTGTTTCCATTGTGTGTGCTCTATAAATCCTATAACCCTTGAAGGATTTTTTTTTCAAACTTGGCTCAGATGTTCACCTTAGCAAGGTGATGTGCAGAATCCATGGTACTGCTGTCCTTGTTCAAGGTCACCCTTGGAGGTCAAAGGTAAAAAAATTCATGTCTGCACTATTAATCCTTTATCCATTGAAGAATGTTTTTCAAAGTTTGCCCAGTTTTTCACCTGATCAAGGCAATGTGTTGAATCCAGTTCACTGCTGTGCCAGCCCAAGGTCACTCTTAGGGGTCAAAGGTCAAAAATCAGAAATTTCATGTCTGCACTATGAATTCTATACCCCTCGAAGGATTTTCTTTAAGCTTGATTTAAATGCTCAACTAAACAAGGTGATGTGCTGTACCCTTGCAAATACTGTGCAAGTTCAAGGTCAATGTAACCCTTAAAGGTCAAAATATATGGGCTACTTAAATTTGTTTATAGATTACTAGAGGGAAGTCAGCCATTTGTGTTTGGAAAGATGGCAGTCATTTGTTTATAGATAGATGTAAGCCATCTGTTTTATGATGGATGTCCGCCATTTGTGTTTGGAATGATGGCAACCATTTGTTTATAGATAGATGTTAGCCAAATGTTAATATAGAGGGAGGGAAGTCAGCCATTTGTGTTTGGAATGATGGCAGCCATTTGTTTATAGATAGATGTTAGCCAAATGTTAATGGAGGGAAGTCAGCCATTTGTGTTTGGAATGATGGCAGCCATTTGTTTATAGATAGATGTTAGCCATATGTTAATAGAGGGGTGTCAGCCATTTGTTTATAGATAGATGTAAGCCATCTGTTTTAAGATGGATGTCTGCCATTTGTGTTTGGAATGATGGCAACCATTTGTTTATAGATAGATGTTAGCCAAATGTTTATAGAGGGAAATCAGCCATTTGTTTATATAGATAGATGTTTGCCATATGTTTATAGAGGGATGTCAGCCATTTATGTATGGAAAGTTGGCAGTCATTTATTAATAGATAGAAGTCAGCCATTTGTTTATAGAGGGATGTCAGCCATTTGTGTTTGGAAAGATGGCAGCCATTTGTTTATAGATAGATGTTAGCCATATGTTTATAGAGGGAAATCAGCCATTTGTTTATATAGATAGATGTTTGCCATATGTTTATAGAGGGATGGCAGCCATTTATGTATGGAAAGTTGGCAGTCATTTATTAATAGATAGAAGTCAGCCATTTGTTTATAGAGGGATGTCAGCCATTTGTGTTTGGAAAGATGGCAGCCATTTGTTTTTAGATAGATGTTAGCCATATGTTAATAGAGTGGTGTGAGCCATTTGTTTATAGAGAGAAAGAAGGCAGCCATCTGTTCTAGAAAGATGGAACTCAGTGAATTTCTTTGATATATGTCGATCTTTATAGAGCAGAATAGTTTTCAGGACATCATTTGAAGTATAATCATTCCTTTCCTTATTTGGTCTAGTGCCCAGTCTGGTGAAAAAATGGAAATAGTGTGAAGCATGTTACAATAATTGTGTTTTCTAAAATAATATTGTAGAAAAATTATATATCTATATTTATTTACCTTACTAGAGCAGTCACTGGGTTAATATCTCAACCTATTGACCTGAAGGACTGTGACCTTGACAATCTGCATGATTCTAAAAATAGCTCAGATAGTGCATTAAGTAGACCTGCAAGACTAATTTGGGAAATACCAGAAAATCTAACCAGGAGTATCAGCATGGCTCATAAAAAAGTGATACAGGTATATATAAAGAGGTCAAAGGGCAACTTGCTGTGTAACCTTAGTAACCACTCTAGTTTTGCATGCCTTAGTAATTAATCACATAGTTTGAAATGCATAAATTGTTAACCAGTGTAGTTTTTCTTGCTTTTATGGTTAACCAGTATAGGTTTGCTTGCTGATGGTTAACCGTTTTAGTTTTTCTTACTTTTATGGTTACCAGTCTAGTTTTTCATGCTTCAAAATTGGTAACAAGTCTAATTTTTCTTGCTTTTATGGTTAACCAGTATAGTTTCTCAGACTTAAATGGTTAACCATTCCACTTTAGTGTGTTTTATTAGATAACCACTTTAGTTTGCTGTGCTTTAATAGTTAACCAGTGTAGTTTTCATGCTTATATGGATAAACAGTCTAGTTTTTCATGCTTTCATCATGTTAAGCAGTCTAGTTTTGCATGCTGATGGTTAACCATTTTAGTTTTTCATGCTTTAATGGTTATCAAGTCCAGTTTTTCATGCTTTTATAGTTAACCAGTCTAGTTTTTCATGCTTTGATGGGTAACAAATCTAGTTTTTCATGCTTTAGTGATTGTCTTTTCTAGCTCCTGTATTTAATACCTTTGGAGATACTTGCATGATATTTTAACATTGTATTGTTGTTTATATTCAACTAGTCAAATGTTATTTGCTACATTTGTACACAGTATGTCACTTTTTTTTTTCTGACACTGTTTTTGTATACTTAGTGCACTTTTTATGTCCCCCTAAATTAAGGGGCATATATGTTTTTTAGCATCAGTCTCTCCTTCTTTCTGTCTGTCCATCAGTACTTTGTTTTCAGTCCAAAACTTTGTCATTCAGTGATGGGTTTTTGAAATAATTTTGCAGAAATGGGTCCACACAAGAGTTTGGTCTTCAGCTCAGAGGTCAAGGTCACACTTGTATGTCAAAAGTTATGATATGATTTTTTTCTCATAAAATTGCTCACATAGTCATGTCCCATCAATAATTCTGTCTTTTCTATCAATAATTGTCTTTTCTATCAATAATTCTGTCTTTTCTATCAATAATTCTGTCTTTTCTATCAATAATTCTGTCTTTTCTATCAATAATTGTCTTTTCTATCAATAATTCTGTCTTTTCTATCAATAATTCTGTCTTTTCTATCAATAATTCTGTCTTTTCTATCAATAATTGTCTTTTCTATCAATAATTCTGTCTTTTCTATCAATAATTCTGTCTTTTCTATGTCTTTTCTATCAATAATTCTGTCTTTTCTATCAATAATTCTGTCTTTTCTATCAATTATTCTGTCTTTTCTATCAATTATTCTGTCTTTTCTATCAATTATTTTGTCTTTTCTATCATTAATTCTCTCTTTTCTATCAATAATTCTGTCTTTTCTGTCAATAATTCTATCTTTTCTTTTAATAATTCTATCTCTCCTGGATGGATTTTTAAATAACTTGGAATAAATGTATTAGTCATGATGATGATGTGTGGGCGCAAGTTTCTGGTCTCCAGCTTTAATGTAATGATCACATTTGTACACCAAAATTTAATTATGATTTGGAATAGATAGTTGTGTCTTATCTACATTTTGTCATTCATGGAGGTACATGTAGTTGTGTTTTGTCTGTATTTTGTCATTGATGGATGTATGTTTTAAGGTTGAGTGACATTTTTTTATATATTTTAGCTTTAGTGATCAAGTTTTGTATCTTTTAAGCTTGAGTAAATTTTTTTTTATGTTTAAGGGCTAGTGATCAATTTCCTATGTTTTGAGATTTTGTGACCATTTATTTTATTTTTCAAGCTTTAGTGATCATATTATTTTTTTTTTAACCTTCAGTGATCAATTATGATATGTTTTAAGCCAGAGTCATCATTTTAATATGCTTAAGCTTTAGTGATCAAATTTGTTTATGTTAAAAACTTTAGTGATCAATTATATGTTTTATGTTTTAAGCTTTTGTGATCAACTGACCATAATTATAGTCATGCAATAATTTTAAAATCATGAAAGAAAACAGGGAAAACAACACATGGATTGACAATATTTTTACATGATTTTTGAACTTCTTACATTACATAACATTTTTTTTTGGGGGGGGGGGGGGGGGGGGGGGGGGGGGTGGGGGGGGTTGATATACTGTATAGTTGCTTAAGTACCAGTTCTTTAATGCTTTTGCCATGTTTGCAGAATACTTAAAGGGAAAGACAAGGTTAGAATAAAAACTTGATTTCAGAAAAAGAATACTATAAATAATAAGTCTGCAAATTTTCTGCCGCCAAATAATAATATTAAACGAATGATAACAAAATTTAAATCGCTAAATCACCGATTTCTACAAATCAGTAAGCGCGGCCATGTTTGTGTATTGACCGTATAAAAACAGGTGCGCGTGATGTCATTTCCCCACATCTTTAGATTCATGATAAATCTAGTTGAATCGTAAGGAAATATTAATTAATGACCAGACAATTTAATTTTCACAGGAGGTGTAGAGGAGATTTTTTAAGATTCAAAATACGTAACAATATCAAAAAAAAATAAATAAATAAAGAAACGTACGGCTAGACAAAAGTTCTAGCCGTACGTGAGTCACGAACGACTAGCCAGGACACACTGTACGTATTGTCTAGCCGTACGGCACTTTTCAAAATTATATGGAAGTCAAACGTTATAAAATTGTTGATTTTCATGCTTATCATTTGTTGTTTTATTTGTATGAATTATTAAATCATTTTTGTTAATTTTAAGCACATGGATCGAATAAAAAATGATCGGAGTGGAATAAATAAATAAAAAGAACATTGAATGAAAAAAAAAAAAACGGTGAAATGCAAAAATAATTATATAATTTTCAAAACAGTAGATAAATATCGAACATAAAAGCACAGTCAATCAATTAATTAGCCTTGATTAAAACCTATCCAGGGACTGACAATAGAATTTTAGAATGCCTTTCACGGAACATACAAACTTTCCTTGATGGACAAACTTCTATACAGTACCGTCGGTAATTGTCGCAATTATCAAGAGCCTAACAACAATCATTTTCAGTGTTTGTTGTTTTTTATTTCATATAAAAGGTGTCGAAAATTAAACTTAATGAAACAAAAAAGGATTATTATCATAATTTTGTAAAGTATTTCAGTTGGTGTAAATGCAAGCAAAGGCTTTTTTTTTCTCGACATCTTGCGATGACAAAGATCGATATATATAGCGATCAAGGCGATTAATCTCTAAAAAGTTAACATCCAAAGACAATTAATGCTGTTTCTTGGTTAAAATCCTCGCTTAAAATCATAAAATAACATATGCATTTTCGACTTCCATAAAATTTTGAAAAGTGCCGTACGACTAGCCAATACAGCGTGTCCTTGCTAGTCGTACGTGACTCACGTACGGCTAAAACTTTTGGCTAGCCGTACGGGCCCGTACCCTAGCCACTTCCATTATAAAAACCCTACTAAAACGTGTTCTTAATAGTACATATAATTAAATTTTTGCAGTTTGATTCTGACTTTCAAATTTAAAGGTGTGAACACATGTTATAATTGATGTACACATTTTAAAAATATAAGCAACTCTTTTGAAAAGTAAATTGTTAACATGTCTGTCAATGTATGATGCTGCGCATCGTAATCGTAGCCTAATATTAACTGCAGGCAAATCATTTTTATTGGCTGCTCAAAAGTTTAATTTGCTTAATTTATTCACACAATTGCTGGTTCTTACTACTTATGTCTATTACTGCGCATTGTCCATTTTAATTGTTCCTAATTTGCACCAAATGCTCCTGTCACACTGTGTACTGACGATTTTTATTGCTCCTTGTATGCCTCTGTGTCGACAGACCTTTTGATCATGCACAATGTTGCCCTGATTGGTTAATCACCCTTGTCAAATATTCTAATGACGAAATAGACATCTATTTTTTTTACGCTTCATCAGTGAACTGAATGACCTTAGGGGGAATTAGGTTCCACACCTGTCAAATTATACTGTAGTAAATTACAGCACGTCATAAAATAGCAACACATTTTTTTCAGTTACCAATAATCATTTTAAATATTAAGTAGATTTATGATTTTTTGGATTAAATTTACCGTAGTAGAAATGCGTATCTGTCGGGGAAAGGAATTTGGTATGTAGATATATATTGGATTTAGTTGATATTTTACCTGGAAAAAAGATACATGACCGGCGATGTACCCTATTTGGACAGCTTGTCTAGCGAAAATTAAGTACAAAATAAAAGGATATATCGTCAATTTGAAGAAGTTTCTCATAGTGCCCAAATTAAATTTATGGTTTATCTTTGAAAATTAAGCAGTCATTGCTTAAATCATGTGGTGGGATCATCAGTAAGCTTTAATATCGGAGAAATAATAATAAATGTCGCGGCGTCTTCAATTAATTAATTAAAGCAATTCAGTTCCATATGATGTTTTCATAAATAATATATAATGTACGCAATAAAATTAATAAGTTCTTCATCAAGATATATTTCAGTTGTACCAGCGTGTACACCTATACCGGAAGTGGGTATTACACGTCACAATCTCGGTCTCGTCTGTCTCGCGAGAATGACAGAACGCCAAAATGGCGGCGCCCATGAACTTATTTCTCAAGTAAAAAATAGTGTCTTAAAACACGAATTTCTCTCTTATAGGGTTGATGTCAATAGGAAAACTGTCATGGTTCCTCTTTTTAAATGATGAATATTTATATTAGACAGACATCAATCCATCCATTCCTATTCCTTTAAGCAAATTTTTTGCTTGGCAGGAAATTTCAAATTTTCTTGTTTTATATTAACTTTAGTTTCTGATATGGCCAATTTTTGTTGCTATAGTTACAGGGCTTACTTAAAAGGAAGATTGGGAATCATTTACTCCTGATTTTGGCTTGTAACTTCCAAAATATAATATATTTTTTGTTCTTTACCTATATAATGTGGCTTTCAATGTCAGAGATTTTCAGTCTCTGACTTTCAAATTTTAAGACTTATAGGAACCCCTTTAAAAGCAATGTGAAAAGTTTGTTTTATTTAATCAGTTATGTTTGTCATGATGAGATGTTAATTGATATATCTTGTTAGTGAAACTAACAACTAACTAGATTCTTTTATATACTGGCTTAAAAAGTTAATAGTGTTGACGTCTGTTTACTTTCTCTGTTTTAAATTGATAAGTGGTGATTCTTAAAGGGTGCTCAATGTTTTGTGTGACCTGCATTACAGCTTTATTTGGGAGTAGTAAATATCCTGTAAATATAACTATTGTCCTAAGGCAAATATTTTTGAAGGGCAAGTTACATAACTCTTGATATTTTAAGAATTATTCCCCTTGATTTTTTAACCACATTTGTAAAATATGATATCATGTTGCTTGTCTGTGATAGAAGATACACAAGGCAAGTAACATAACTCTTGACATTTTAAAATTATTCCCCTTTAGTTATAACATTTGCAAGATTTGAAATCATTTAATTGGGCCATGATAAAAATTCAATTAAGCAAGTGACATAACTCCTGATATTAAAAAAATATTCCCTTTTAGTTATTACACCATCTGTTAGATATGAAATCATTTTACTGGACCATGACAAAAGTTTTACAATGTAAGTTACATAAATCTTGATATTTAAAAAATTATTTCCCTTTAGTTATTACACCATCTGTTAGATATTATGAAATCATTTCACTGGGCCATGACAAAAGTTTTACAATGTAAGTTACATAAATCTTGATATTTTAAAAATTATTTCCTTTTAGGTATTACACCATTTGTAAGATTTGAAATCATTTCATTGGGCCATAATAAAAATTTTGTTTGGCAAGTGAGCCATATTAAAGGAGCTTCCCTGAGGTCAAAAGACTTAAAAACAAAACAAAAAATGAAATTCTTTTATAGATAAAGTGAAGAGTTTTAATGATATAATCTGAAAAAGGAAAATAAAGAAATTTACCCAGTATTAAATTGAATATCGATTTTTTGCTTCATAAATTTGCAAAACAATTATGATTGTTTTGAAAAAACTGTGTGAGAATGATAGGAAAATTTGCACACAAGTTTTTGGTCCAGATCTTACATCAAATGGTACACAAATGGTGGGAAAAATATTTGCAATCCTGTCATGTCAAAAAAAAACTCAGTGGAGTCCCTTTAAGGACAGGCTATCATAGCCCTCTTGTATTTAGTTTTATGGCAGGTTATTTTTTGGTACTCACAAAATTTCCATTGTACATGTAGCAGTTTCATATATATCATATTGTACAAGTCATAACACAATTTTTTTGAAATAGTGAGATACCCTTGTTATGTGTATGTTTTCATGTTTTCCATCTTTTTTTCAGACACATTTTGTGTTTGTAATATTTTTCCTGAAAATTGTTCATTCCTTTCTTTATATTTAGCTGTTTTATATTATACTTTAATATATTTTTTTCTCACATTTTCCTTTGATATTTGTTGGTAGATTTTATAACTGTCTAAATGGTTTTAACTAACAGCCTAAATGGAAGTAAATTATGTCTTTTTTTCAAGGATTTTACAACAAAATGTTGCTTACGATGAAAATGGAAACTGCCGGGTCACAGCAGACGACAATTTAGAATGTAACCTTTATCCTCCATCAAGGTTACAATGGAACATTCCATCTCTGCTTGGTTCAAGTGTGAAACGGGCTGTTTCAATTATGTCACAGGTTGTTCACCATCCCCTTTTGAGTTTGATAATCTTAAAACAAAATTTTGTTAATGTTTTAAGTTACATTATGCTTTTTTGTTTGTTTATTTTTGTTTTTGTTTTTTTAATGGCTGACAAAGTAGCTTATAATCATGTTTGAATGTTTTTTTTATGTTTTTTTTTCTATTGGAGTTAGATCAAAATGAATATATACTGAGATTCAAAAAAGCCATATCTCCATATATCCTATTTGGTATCTTCCAGCAGAAATTTCCTGTTTCATTCTTAACCCCTTTCCCTACATGCACATTCCTATCTTTCCCAAGAAGCAATATTTTTGTTTTGTTATGCCATTTTATTTGGAAGGGGTTCTCTTAGCTTGGGTCATATTATGTCAAGGAAGTTTTGGATTTATTTATGGGAGAAAATTTTGCAGCTAGATTAGGAGAAGATAAGCTTATACCTACTGCCATCTTAGGTCTTCCAACATTGAACTTGTAAAGTTGCCATTGACCTTTAAGCAAAAGTTGTCATTGACCATTAAGGTAAAACTGTCATTGTCCTTTAAGGTACAGTTGTCATTGACCTTTAAGGTAAAGTTGTCATTGACCATATAAGGGAAAGTTGCCATTGCTTTTTAAGGGAAAGTTGCAAATGAACTTTAAGGGATCATTGTCATTGACCTTTAAGGGAAAATTGTCATTGACTTTTAAGGTAAAGTTATCATTGACCTTTAAGGGAAAGTTGTCATTGACCTTTAAGGGAAAGTTGTCAATGACCTTTAAGGGAAAGTTGTCAATGACCTTTAAAGTGAATGTTGTCATTGACCTTGAAAGTGAATGTTGTTATTGACCTTTGAGGGAAAGTTGTCATTGACCTTTTAAGGGAAAGTTGCCAATGACCTTTAAGGGAAAGTTGCCAATGACCTTTAAGGGAAAGTTGTCATTGACTTATAAGGGAAAGTTGCCATTGACCTTTAAGGGAAAGTTGCCATTGACCTTAAAAGGGAAATTTGTCATTGACTTTTAAGGGAAAGTCGCCATTGACCTTTAAGGTAATGTTGCCATTGACCTTTAAGGGAAAGTCGCCATTGACCTTTAAGGGAAAGTTGCCATTGACCTTTAAGGGAAAGTTGCCATTGACCTTTAAGGGAAAGTTGTCATTGTCCTTTAAGGGAAAGTTGTCATTGACCTTTAAGGGAAAGTTGTCATTGACCTTTTAAGGGAAAGTTGCCAATGACCTTTAAGGGAAAGTTGCCAATGACCTTTAAGGGAAAGTTGTCATTGACTTATAAGGGAAAGTTGCCATTGACCTTTAATGGAAAGTTGCCATTGACCTTAAAAGGGAAATTTGTCATTGACTTTTAAGGGAAAGTTGCCATTGACCTTTAAGGTAATGTTGCCATTGACCTTATAAAGGAAAGTTGCCAATGGCCTTTATAGGGAAAGTTGCCAATGACCTTTAAGGAAAAGTTGCCAATGACCTTTAAGGGAAAGTTGCCATTGACCTTATAAGGGAAAGTTGTCATTGACCTTTAAGGGAAATTTGTCATTGACCTTTAAGGTAAAGTTGTCATTGACCTGTAAGGGAAAGTTGTCACTGACCATTAAGGTTAAGTTGTCATTGACCTTATAAGGGAAAGTTGCTTTTACTCTTTATAGGGAAAGTTGCCAATGACCTTTAAGAGATCGTTGTCATTGACCTTTAAGGGAAAATTGTCATTGACTTTCATGGGAAACTTGCCAGTGACCTTTAAGGGAATTCGTCATCGACTTTTAAGGGAAAGATGTCAATGTCATTTAAGGTAAAGTTGTCATTAACCTTTAAGGGAAAGTTGCCATTGACAAGGGAAAGTTGCCAGTGACTTTTAATAACTTATAAGGAAAAGTTGTCATTAACCTATAACAGAAAGTTGCCATTAATGTGACCTGAAGCACAATTACTAAAGATGTGATTTGTTACTGTTTATCTTTTTCTTCTTTTATTAAATTATCATTGTTGTCAACATCATAAAATGTCTTTTTCATTGACTTAATCACTGTGGTTACAAACTATGCTAGGGCTTTTTCAATTTCAGGAAAAAGGAGTTTCTGATAATTAAAGGTTAATGGTTTAATTCAAATGCTTACTAATGTCTTAACTTAGTGTTAATTTTGATAAGGAAATAACTCATGGTTGTTAGTTATAACAGGATCAATTTGATGACTCATTGGTGTATAATTAATGTGAATCTGAGTGTTACAAGTTAGACACAGTGAATGTTATGTGAATCTGAGTGTTACAAGTTAGACACAGTGAATGTTATGTGAATCTGAGTGTTACAAGTTAGACACAGTGAATGTTATATGAATCTGAGTGTTACAAGTTAGACACAGTGAATTTTCTTATTTTTGTTCCTGCTCTGCTGTTATATTTGCACTTTCTTACATATTTCCTTCTGTAGACAATTTTTGCACAATGTATTCATTACATATATGCAAGACCAAGCTTTCAAGTACTCTGACTGAAGGGGTTGTTGGTACAGTGTAACCTCGACAAAGTGGATCTCTGTAGAGCAGTTACCTTTTTACAACCACAGTATCAGTGTTTCCCAAATAAGGACTTCATAATGAATATAACCTCTCAAGGTCAAAACCTCTCAGCAATTTACCAAAATATTTGTCTGCCAGAAGATGTTACTCTACAGATGTTGCACTCTTTCTTGGGACTGTTCCTGGGGACTGTTCTAGGGACTGTTTCTTGGGGACTGTTTCTGGGGACCATGGTCTGGGGACTGTTTCTTGAGATTGTTTTGAGGACTGTTTCTGGGGTCTGTATCTGGGAACTGTATCTGGGAACTGTTTTTCATAGCTGTTTCTGGGGACTGTCTCTAGGGGCTGTTTCTGGGAACTTTTTCTAGGGACTGTTTCCGGGGTCTATTTCTTGGGACTGTTTATGGGAACTGTCTAGGAAAAGTCAACATAATTATGACCTATACTGTGTTGGTGTGATGTAAAAACCATCAACAATAATTTTCAAAAAAGGAAGTTTTTTTCCCTGTAAGTTTGAAAGCAGAGTACTAATAAGTTTTGTTAAGTATATATATACATATATACATGTTTGTCTGTCTGTGCATGTGTTTATTAGATATATTTCTGCATGCAATTTCCACCTTTGTGCTTTTAATTTATATAAAATGGTTAAATTGTATGTTTATTTATGAAATAAATAAATAATTCATTGATTGCATAGATCCCTGACCTGTCTAATTCTAATTTTCAGATAAGTGGATACAATAAGACTTACGCCACAACATATTTGTTAACATTTAAAAAGCACATATTAATGTTTGTGGTTAAATCTATTGTTACTAAAATGAAAGGTTAGAGTAGGGATCTATCATATCATATCTGGAACTCTGCAAAGTGGGTGTTCCCAGCTAATCTGTGGGCATATACTAACTTTTACCATTACAGTTTCACTGTGCACTGTGCACTAACAATCACAAAAGATTAGTTAACCTGTTTTGCTTATTTTCTAAGCTGTAACTGTAAAAAATTGTTTGTACCGATGTAATTAGCTGGGAAATTCAAATATTCTTAATTCTTTCTTTACAGAATAATTTATTTCCTATTGTGAAAAATGACTCACAATTTAAAAGCAATGTGCAACACCTCACCCAAATCGAACTAAGAAAAGCACAAAATTACAATTTCCATTTTATTTCTGAGTGTATTTCTTAATAATCTTTACCATAGCTTTCTGTTTATGGTGTGGCCATTGAGCTATTGTGAAAAATTAAAGTTTTATGTTTTACATTTTTGGACCTCGGTGTAGTTTTATGTTTTCTTCTTCAGAAACGATTGATATTTATAAAATAACACATTGCATTATGACGCAACGTCCGTTTAACTGTACGCTAAACAGAATGTGAAGTTTATGCGAAAATAAAAACTTTGTCAAATAAATACAGAATCTTTGAAATTCATACAAATTACAGCAATTTACAATAAATTTTACATAGAATACGGATTTTTTTTTTATGATATTACACACATATTTAAATACAACTTTAGAGAGAGAAAAAAACTGTGACAGCATTATATGTAAAAACAGCATTGTTTAAATCTGAGGTTTAGGTGCGTCTTTAATGAATTATTTGATGTATGTAATATATAAAGAACACATAGTTACTATGTTAACATTGAGGTAAATATATTTCAGGCAATAGATGACGTTGATCATAGAGTTGAAGGTTATTTTAACTATGGGAAAGGTTTTATTAAAACATGTAAGGTAGGTAAACTGATGGAGTTTTTGTATAAAAGTAATATGATGTTTAGACTGGTTATGATTATATCCGGTTGATTTATAAAATGACTTGTTTGATAACGATTCTTTAAGGATTTATATTGCCTTGACTGGTTACTTGATTTATGTAACAAATATTTATATTGACTTGACTGGTTACTTGACTTATGTAACAAGGATTTATATTGACTTGACTGGTTACTAGGTCTATGTAACAAGGATTTATATTGACTTGACTGGTTACTAGATTTATGTAACAAGGATTTATATCGACTTGACTGGTTACTAGATTTATGTAACAAGGATTTATATTGACTTGACTAGTTACTAGATTTATGTAACAAGGATTTATATTGACTTGACTGGTTACTATGTTTATGTAATAAGGATAAATATTGACTTGACTGGTTACTAGATTTATATAACCAGGATTTATATCGACTTGACTGGTTACTAGATTTATGTAACAAGGATTTATATTGACTTGACTGGTTACTTGACTTATGTAACAAGGATTTATATTGACTTGACTGGTTACTAGGTCTGTGTAACAAGGATTTATATTGACTTGACTGGTTACTAGATTTATATAACCAGGATTTACATCGACTTGACTGGTTACTAGATTTATGTAACAAGGATTTATATTGACTTGACTGGTTACTTGACTTATGTAACAAGGATTTATATTGACTTGACTGGTTACTAGGTCTATGTAACAAGGATTTATATTGACTTGACTGGTTACTAGATTTATGTAACAAGGATTTATATCGACTTGACTGGTTACTAGATTTATGTAACAAGGATTTATATTGACTTGACTAGTTACTAGATTTATGTAACAAGGATTTATATTGACTTGACTGGTTACTATGTTTATGTAATAAGGATAAATATTGACTTGACTGGTTACTAGATTTATATAACCAGGATTTATATCGACTTGACTGGTTACTAGAATTTATGTAACAAGGATTTATATTGACTTGACTGGTTACTTGACTTATGTAACAAGGATTTATATTGACTTGACTTGTGTTACTAGGTCTGTTTGTAACAAGGATTTATATTGACTTGACTGGTTTACTAGATTTATTATAACCAGGATTTACATCGACTTGACTGGTTACTAGAATTTATGTAACAAGGATTTTATATTGACTTGACTGGTTACTTGACTTATGTAACAAGGATTTATATTGACTTGACTGGTTACTAGGTCTATGTCACAAGGATTTATATTGACTTGACTGGTTACTAGATTTATGTAACAAGGATTTATATCGACTTGACTGGTTACTAGATTTATGTAACAAGGATTTATATTGACTTGACTGGTCACTAGGTTTATGTAACAAGGATTTATATTGACTTGACTGGTAACTAGATTTATGTAACAAGGATTTACATTGACTTGACTTGTTACTAGATTGATGTAACAAGGATTGATATTGACTTGACTGGTTACTATATTTATGTAATAAGGATTAATATTGACTTGACTGGTTACTAGATTTATGTTACAAGGATTTATATTGACTTGACTGGTCACTAGATTTATGTTACAAGAATTTTGTATAAATTGACTGGTTATAAGTTTTAGGGATATATGACATCTGTGAACTTCAGACCTTTTATATGCTTACAAGGACTTAAATTATTTATTAAAATGATTCATAATAATATATATACTGGTTACTTCAATATAAAAATCAAAGATTTAGAATTTATTTACTGCTTGACTTACAGAAAGTTGACTGGATACATGTTTCAGTGAAAAAAAAGCCTTTTTTTTTTTTTTAACTAAATCTGACTTTGATGTTTCATGGTTACAGGTGAGCCCCGATGCATACATACAGATGGCGCTCCAGGTCACATACTTCAAGAATGCTGGGAAACCTTGTCTCACGTACGAGTCGTCAATGACACGTTTATATCTGATGGGGAGAACGGAGACGGTACGATCACTGACGCAAGAGTCGAATGAATTCGTAAAGTAAGTTTCAAGGATTTATATTGACTTGACTGGTCACTAGATTTATGAAACAAGGATTTATATTGACTTGACTGGTAACTAGATTTATGTAAATATCGATTTATATTGATGTGACTGGTTACTGGATTTATATCTGATGGGGAGAATGGAGACAGTTCGATCACTGACGCAAGAGTCGAATCAATTCGTAAAGTAAGTTTCTGCTATCTTGTCTTTATTAAACAACGAACATCTTGAAGACTTTGTGTAATCGCATGGCATTGACTTCCGTCCTGTCCTCAAATCAATGACAGAAATTTTTTGGTCAGCTAGATTCATGTTTGGTACACAAGATTAAAGTATCAAACCAAAATCGTTTCCCGAGCTTCTATTTTTAGAAACGAAAGTCACTATAACATTTATGGATTTTTGCAAGATGAATTACTGAAATCCTTAGTTTGAAACGAAACAGAATTGTTTTTCTCAACAAAATATAAAAGCAGAAGGCTGCTTTAAGGGATCTTCCATGGAAAAATTTGTAATGCTTGTTGACATAAAATGTCATAGTAGCCGTATGCTTTTAATTCGATTAACTCTAAATATATTGGTCAGCTTACTTACTGCCTTTCTCATTTAGGCCATATATTGCACAGATTTGGCATTATTGAATTAAAATAGTACGACTCCAGATTCATGCTTATTTTGATGATAATTTTGAAAAATGTATTTAAAAGTAAAATATTAAACAAAGAAAATAATTTACACTTTTCAAACTGTAATTAAACCAATCCACAAAAATAACCAGAAAATAAATCCTTTCTGCGTTAGTTAAGCAATAGAAATATGGTGGTAAATAAAGGTGTTACGGTATACTGATATATTACAAAAAAATAAATTTAGTACTGCGGTACAATTTTTTGGAAAACCAGTATTTTATAAAAATCATAATTTTCAGATAATTGCCATCTAATTTCATACAAATTTTGCATAAAATCTTTTATTGCCGAATTTTATTGGCGCCAAAGTAAGATGAAAATATCCGACAACTAGTAGACACTTAAAAGTCAATAAGCGGCCTTGTAATTTACATTAGCGGCCCAGATGTGAAAGGTCATGCGCGACTAGTTTTGTTAATCAAATTGTGTAACACTTTACTTTCTATTCAGTCCTTACATTTTTTTTAAGTTTCAAGTGTATAATGTTACTCCATCTTTACATCAAAACATATGCACGACAATACATTTTTAGCTCGACTATTCGATAAGAATATGTAGAGCTATTGTAGTCACCCGAGCGTCGGCGTTGGTCTAGGCGTCTGCGTCGGCGTAACCACTTATGTAAAAGTTTTTGTAATAGTTCAAATATTTTCAAAGTCCATTGACATATGGCTTTGAAACTTTGCACAGTTGTTCACCATCATGACCCCAACCTGTAAACAGGAGGAGGTAACTGTATCAAGCATTTTTTTTTACTATCAAGCACTAAGAATAGTCGAGCGTTGCTGTCCTACCGACAGCTCTTGTTGCTGTATTGTTACACCCCTAGTGATAAATACTGCAAAATTAGGCATTAATTGCACATCGTATGAAAAGTATTACTTGAATATTGAATATGTTTACTTCTCTTAAACTCTTAGAATATTTTCCTCAAGTTTGATATTCTTAAAATAGTTTGACTCATCTCGCGACATGCAGCTATAATGCACATGACCTATGTAACAGTCCCATTCCTTTATAATGGGGTATACATGTTGATGGGAAATGTTATACTGTATGATGGCTAATTTGGTACACTTTGAGCAAAGCGTTGTCGATAGCAAAAACACAACCTATATCAGTTTAGTCTTTTCCTCTTGTTGCTAGCGAAGCAGGATAAACGCGTCTTGTGAAGTGGTGTGATGCCGCCCTGTCGCTTGGCTTTTATTATATACAATTAGTCAATCCTTCGATTGGAGCCAAGCGACAATGTGACAGACATGGGACATCGAAGAACTTGTTAGCAACAGGACAACAGTGTAACAAACCACAACAGTGTAACAAACCCTCCCTCGTGTATTGCAAGCATGATGCACAATAGTGTTCAATATCAAACAACTTTATACTGGCCAAAAAGCCTCAAAAAATGGTCTATCTTAAGGAACCTATCCCAAACTGCAGCTCTGCAGATGTCATGACTAACTTAATTTTATGTTAAAACCTTGTTATATATACTAATTAAAACTTACTTTTCATCCTTGGTTTTAAATTGTTGAAATCTTATATTAAAATGTTACCATCTTATTTCACATGACAATATTTATCAAGTTGTTATTTACTCTGATTGTGAAACTATTGTAGTTTAGTCTTTTAAATAAGAAACTGTGATAGTAAAGTCTATTAAAGGGAAGTAATAAAAAGAAAAATATTTTTTATATTAAGATTAAGTTAAAGTTTAGTTAAAGTTTAAAAAAAAAATGAAATTCCATAAATTATATACAATAAGTGTTTATTTGGCCTTTAAAGTCACATTGTGCCTCAGAAAAGAGTATAAATGAGCCGCGTCACAACAAAACCAACATAATGGGTTTGCGACCAGCATGGATCCAGACCAGTCTGTGCAATCAGGATCCATGCTGTTCGCTAACAGACCCTATAACAAGTAGAGAAACTGATAGAAAACAGCATGGATCCTGATCAGACTGCGCGGATACGCAGGCTGGTCTTGATCCCTGCTGGTCGCCAACCTATTATGTTGGTTTTATGTGACAGTCTCATTCCTTTGTAATGGGGTATACATGATAATGGAAAATGTTATACTGTAAAGTGGCTAATTTGGTACACTTTGCGTGTTGAGTTTTTGATAGCGACAACACCACCTACCACCTATATTGTTATCGCCTAATTTCCTCTTGTTGCTAGCGAAGCACGCAAAAGGGTGCGTTGTCATGTGACGCGATGTAGCTTGGCTGATATATATACAAATAGCCAATCCTTTCAGCCGAGCAACAATGTGACATCGCGAGAACACGCCCGCATGACAGCATGACAGCACACAGTTTGTTGTGCTTCGTTAGCTACACCTTGTCACTGTTGCTAGCAACACCTTGCACTTAAGTGTTCCTAATCTGACAACCATATTAATTCTGGCCAATACAGCCTCAAAACTATAATTTATGTTAAAACTAGGTACCATCGTCACACTGCAGCTCTGCAGATTTGACAGTACATATAATTTGGCTTCATTTCATTAGTACAGCATGTTATATATACTAATTAAAACTTACTTTTCATCATTGGTTTTAAATTGTTGAAATCTTTCATTAAAATGTTACCATCTTATTTCGTATGACAATATTTATCAAGTTATTATCAACTCTGATTGTGAAACAATGTATTTAAGTCTTTTAAATAAGAAACTGTGATAGTAAAGCATAATAAAGGGAAGTAATAAAAAGTAAAATATTTACTGTAGATCTACATGAGGAAAATAAAAATTTAAGATAAATTTCTATAAAATTTGAGCAGTTGAATTTTACTGAAGCATGAAATTCCATAAAATTATGAAAACAATCTAATTCACCTTAATTAAATATTGATTTGGCCTCAGAAACAAGTATCCTGTTTTACTCGTTTTCTTGGGGTTTAAAGACTAAAACTTGATTGGATAATATTTATAAAACATTTTGTTACAGTATTTTTAGCCTGACACACAGAGAAATACCTTATTTAACACAATATAGATCTAAAGGAAGAAAGATAGTAACTGTAAGTTAAATAAAAGATATTTCTGCTTGTATAAGTGAACCAGGTGCTTTCTCATATTATCGTGGAATTTGATTGATTGTTAAGGCTGGTCGCTATGTGATGATTTTACTCTACGCACCAGTTCAAATCATTAATGCCACTCCTAATTAAGTGTTAACTGGCTTAAATCTGTAATTTTATTTTGTTTTGGTAACAGCTTGGTAGGCTATAGCTCATATTGACACCTCTTTGGTAGTCCAAGTGATTTTGTTTGTTTCATAAATAGTTTGAACTCAATTTTAGTGTTGTTATTTACATAATCCCTATGTTAAGATTATGTTTATTTTTTAGTTAAGCAAGGAATAATACAGTTTTCCATTGCATTTGTCAAGAATAAAATTGTTTTGGATAAACAAATTGTTTCATTTGGAGTTCTGATATCTTTCTTATACTTTCTATTTGTGGAACAAATATTTTAAGCTGTATTGTACATAGTGTAGTGTGAGACCGTCATTTGAAGCGTCTTGTGTCAGAGACCCGCTGGTGGGGGGGATGATAAATTTAATGTTTATTCTCTGGATTTTATGATTATATCCACATTATTTTGGTTTATAATCTGCTTTTGTCGCATTTCTTTTGTGTTGGTTTTTTTTACCGAAAATGATCAGCTAAATAGACACGTCTTCGGATATCAACGGAAATTGCTTGCATCTGTTTCTGTTTATACGCCCGTTTGAAAAACAAACTGGTCGGGTTATATTATAGTTCCCCCTGGGGGGTGGGCGGGCGAGAGGACGGGCGGCGTCTAATTATGCCCCCAATTCAAAGAAGAAGGGGTATATTGCTTTGCATTTGCCGGTCCGTAGACCAAATGGTTTCCGAGTGATAACTAAAGAACACTTAGGCCTAGGAACTTTAAACTTGGTATGGTGATTGGTCATGACCAGTAGATGACCCCTATTGATGTTGGGGTCAAAGGTCAAGGTCACATTGACCTTGTAAGTAAAAACGGTTTCCGATCAATAACTTAAGAATGCTTAGGCCTAGGAACTTCAAACTTGGTATTGGTGATTGGTTATGACCAGCAGATGACCCCTATTGATTTTGGGGTCAAGGTGTCAAAGGTCAAGGTCACCTTGACCTTGTAGGTAAAAACGGTTTCTGATCAATAACTAAAGAACGCTTAGGCCTAGGAACTTCAAACTTGGTATGGTGATTGGTCATGACCAGCAGATGACCCCTATTGATTTTGGGGTCAAGGGATCAAAGGTCAAGGTCACATTGACCTTGTAGGTAAAAATGGTTTCCGATCAATAACTAAAGAACGCTTAGGCCTAGGAACTTCAAACTTGGTATGGTGATTGGTCATGACCAGCAGATGACCCCTATTGATTTTAAGGTCAATGTGTCAAAGGTCAAGGTCACATTGACCTTGTAGGTAAAAACGGTTTCTGATCAATAACTAAAGAATGCTTAGGCCTAAAAACTTCAAGCTTGGTATGGTGATTGGTCATGACCAGCAGATGACCCCTATTGTTTTTGGGGTCAAAGGTAAAGGTCACATTGACCTTGTAAGTAAAAACGGTTTTAGATCAATAACTAAAGAACGCTTAGGCCTAGGAACTTCAAACTTCGTATGGTGATTGGTCATGACCAGCAGATGACCCCTATTGATTTTGGGGTCAAGGTGTCAATGGTCAAGGTCACATTGACCTTGTAGGTAAAAACAGCTTCCGATCAATAACTTAAGAACGCTTAGGCCTTGGAACTTCAAACTTGGTATGGTGATTGGTCATGACCTGAGCAGAGCAGATGACCCCTATTGATTTTGAGGTCAAGGGGTCAAAGGTCAAAGTCACATTGACCGTGTAGGTAAAAACGGTTTCCGATCAATAATTAAAGAACGTTTGGCCTAGGAACAATTCTCTTTAATAAGACCACAGATGGAACTGACTCAGAGTAGTCTTAATAGTGATCAAGTCTAAATAGTAAAGAATTCAATTTAATATCTTATGAAGTGCAATGTTACTAAATGTATATGTACCCAGACTTTTATTTAGGTTTTATATCTCTCTTTAGATAGCCAAATAATTTATCAGTTTAACTTTTTCTTTTAAATTCAGTTCTTTTTATTTTCTTTTTCGATGATTAGATTTTTGACAGACAGTGATTGTAACATTAATAAGAATGCAAACTAAAGAAAGAATGAGGTTTAACAATTTTTCAAGTTATAATAATAATAATAATAATAGTAATAATAATAATTCAGTTTCAGTTTATTTCTAGTAATATAGGCCTCAGGCCCAAAATACAAAGTACAACAATACATCAAACAGTAGAGTGATAAATTGCAAATACATTTGTTACTAGATGTAATGAATTGAATTTGTAAATAATTATACAGTATTTATCTCTTCCTTTCTTACAGTCATTGCATAATATATATATTTAGCAATAGATATTACTTCATATGATATTAATAATATTAATAATAAACACTTTATTTCATGAAAGTTACACATACATTTTGTAATAAGAACCACAGTGTCTACAATATGGCCTTCTAACGAGGTAAACATACAAAAATGTAAACATATAAAAAATATAAACAACAAACATTTGAATAGACAACCACATGTATTCATCAGAATAATTCAAATTATCATCTTTTTCGTTCTTCTTTTAAAAGCAATTAAGAGAAGATTCTTTAATATATAATGTAAATTATGCCATACTTTAATAGCTTTAAAAATAAAATTTCTTTTGAAATATTTTGTTGTAGGTCTTACATGTATTATGTTTCTATTAGCAGTTGATCTATTAATAATTAGTGAATACGTTTTATTTTACATGAACACTAGGAAATTTTAGTTGGACGGATTTTTTGTGGTGAATATTCTCATTTTCTTGATTTTATAACATTATTGCAAAACAACATATCTGAAAAAGAATTAAAACTTCTGAGATATTAAAAACTTTTCATTTCTCATTTATGACTTATACGTCAATAAACAAATTAAAATGTTATTAAGAGATAAATACATGGTAGAGTAGGACCGGAAGATGATAATTTGCCTGCAAAATGAATAATGGTCCCGATGGCTTGAGCCTGAGGGCATTATTCATTTCAGGGATGATTATCACCTCCTGGCCCATCTAAGATATGTATAAGTGTGATAGATCTAACACTTACTTTGATATTTCTTTTGTAGGAATTCCTATATCTGTAGATTTCAACTGTATTTTACAGTAACTTCTACAGAGTTGCTTCCCTTATATGTATGTAAGAGAATCTAGAAGCAGGATTTTTTTCACAGAATGAAATTGTAGCTAGTATTTTTTGCTTTAAATTTCAATGGAGCTGTGTTTGTAGAAATTACGCTAATCTATCCTACTTTACAGCTAGCTGTTTTGATGACGTTAAATGTGACGTCATTGTTTTCAGTTTTTGCACATACTCGTGGTTCAGCGGGCCAATTATGATTATCAGATATTGGCCCTGGGCTGCAAACTAATAATTGGTCACATGACACTCATTATCAGTTGAAATCATAGGCAATTTTGTTACTATATATAGTAACAAGTGTATTAATGACCAGTAGATAATACTAACTTCTCAGTGGTATGGACTTCTCATGCTTACCAACCTCTCACACATAGGTGGTTAAAATTATCAAGAAGAGGTTTATAATAGGTAATACATTTCTTACTTCTTAATGGATTGCCTTCAAACTTGGAAACAACAACCAATTTCACAAGACTTTTAGGTTTACTAGACTGATTTTGACCTTCACTGATAAATGAAAATGACCTTCAGAATTTCGTTTGATTTTTAGCTCGACTATTCGAAGAATATGAGAGCTATCTAGTCGCCCCGGCGTCGGCGTCTGCGTTGGTTAAAGTTTTTTGTAAAGTCAAATATCTCAATTATTGCTTAAGATATTCAATTGAAACTTGCAATACTTATTTATAGTAACAAGGTACATCAGATTGACAAGTTGGATAACTCTGCCTACAATATTGACAGAATTATGCCCCTTTTAACTTAGAAATTTTGGTTAAAGTTTTTTGTAAAGTCAAATATCTCAATTATTGCTTGAGATATTCAATTGAATTTTCTTACAATACTTATTTATAGTAACAAGGTACATCAGATTGATAAGTTGGATAACTCTGCCTACAATATTGACAGAATTATGCCCCTTTTTAACTTAGGAATTTTGGTTAAAGTTTTTTGTAAAGTCAAATATCTCAATTATTGCTTGAGATATTCAATTGAAACTTACAATACTTATTTATAGTAACAAGGTACATCAGATTGACAAGTTGGATAACTCTGCCTACAATATTGACAGAATTATGCCCCTTTTTAACTTAGAAATTTTGGTTAAAGTTTTTTGTAAAGTCAAATATCTCAATTATTGCTTGAGATATTCAATTGAAATTTACAATACTTTTTTATAGTAACAATTGGAGGGTCATAACTGTATGTCACTGACCAAGTTCCATAACTCTATCTTGCATTTAGGCTGATTCATATCCCCTTTTCTACTTAGTCTCTTGGTAAATGTTTACATGCAAGTTTTACATATCTCAATAACTATTAAAGATATTTATTTAAAACTTCATATATGCATTTAGGGTCATAATTGTAGGTCACTGTAGTCATGCCAATACTGTTCTCCGACAGTTCTTGTTGTTATAATTATGAATGGATTGTCTGGGACAGACAAGACCTTTATAAAGAGCAAATTAATTTTGAATGACCTACCGGGTAACTCTGAAGATAAAATCATTGAATATTACTTGTTTTTTTAGCTCACCAGTCATCACAAAGTGATACGGTGAGCTTTTGTGATTGCTTTTCCTCCAGCATCTGGCCGTAAACTTTTACTTTAAATGACATTTCCTCATAAACTGCTAAGCCAATTTGATCCAAACTTCATGGCAACTGAAAGAAAAAACTTAAAATTCTTGCTTTTGATAGAACTCCCTAGAGAGCTAGAGCTTAGATATTTTGAGAATGAAGAACAGTACGGGTGTATTTCTTATAGTAAGGAAGTGCCTGGACCTGAAGATGTTTGGAGTGTTCAAATGAAAATGTCCCTAGGTCATAATCTGGGCTGCCGGTCCGCCGCCAGAGAGTATGGTTCATTGGTTGTGTGTACCAATTATATTGTGACTATGAGAGTACGACGAGGTTAAACGTTAAAAAACTAACCTTTAACTATAAAACCGCCCGATAGAGGCTGATCGATGGAATGTTAGAGCTTTGTATAAGCAGAAGAGCGATTCGGGAGACAAGTCTCTGTGCCCGTTAGTGGTATGATTGATGATGCCAAGTTTGTTCTAAGATGGAAGCCTGGGGATCTAAAACTGTAACCGTCTCCGCCCAAGGGGGTTAATGATTTTCCTTATATGTATATAGTAAAAACTTAAAAAATTTTCTTCTAAAAGATATTTTAGAGCTAGAGGTTATATATTAAGCATGAAAAAATCTTAGGGGTGTCTACCAAGTTTGTTCAAATAAAAGCCCTGGAGTCAAAATTGGCCCCACCCAAAGGGGTCATTGATTTATCTCATATGTACATATCATTTGGAACTGTTGTTTTCCCTTAGCAATAGCAATGCACATGGACTATTTCAGATACAAATATGAACATTGTGATGGCCCTTTAATGATTTTAAATTTTCTCCTGATTACTCCTGTTATACCACTGAAAATGTAAGGGATTAATCAGTAGCTCAAGTTCTTGTGCATATTACACAGGTTTTTAGGTTGAATAATTTTTGGTCGAGTTATGGCTATCATGAGGCAACACATGTGATCACTCGGATTGCTATTGTTTTGATTTGGTAATATGATGTGATATTAAAATGTAACCAAAAAATTATGAAAGCCACATATATTGACATTTGATGCATCCATTTGTTACACACAAGAGATCAGTAGAAGTTCAAGTCTTAATACTGCCTGCTTCTGACCACATCTTTTATTGGCCAGCCAATATCCTAGAAAGGAGCTTACATATATGGATGATTGCTACATTGTTTCTTGGCCTTAGCTGATGAGAAATCAGGTAGCTATTTAATGCATGTTGAGGTTTGTTTTCTTGTTCCATACATTGTCCTAAGATGTTGAGGGCTGTTTCTCTATGTTTAAGGTTTACATCTGTTGCTATGGTTCTTATAAGTTTACCAAGTGCTTGTCGTTTATCTTGATGTCTTTGTAGATGACGATAGATCTTGTATTGTAGGAAGTACAGGAAAGGTAGAGAATCAACAACAGCCCAGTCCATCCAATAGTTTGTATCCTGATTTCTGTGTATCATGTCATCTTGTGTAGATCTGAACATTTCATATTGTAGTTCATGAGGAACACAGTTGATCTCTTTCTGTATGAATGTGACACAAAATGACATAATATGTTTAATACAGTCCTCACTTTGTTCACCACAGACCCTCTTGAATTCTGCTGCTACTCTTGGCGGAGGACTATCACACAAGCCAATAGTTAAAACAGGATAAGAGTCATATTGTTGTTCAGTGTGTCTTAGTATTTGTTCAGCTTTCTCCATATCTCCTGTACTGTAGAACACTGAAGCCAATTTAAGTCTGCTAGATGAGATATCTGAGTTTAAACCAGCTGATAACCAAACCAATGCTTCAGGTGACACTTGATTATTTTCACCAATGCTGAATGATGCCAGGATAGATCCATATGTGGTAAAAATAAAAGGTGCTAGAAACTTACATGCAGCCTGTTCTAATCTGTTACCATTAACATTGAAAGTAATAAGTTTACCTATATAATGCTTCATTGTTCTAATGTTTTTTGTGTGTAAATGTTTTAAAACAAAGTGATGAATATCCCTTATACAGTATGCTCTGTTTACATAATAATAGGTCATATAAGATTCATGTCTCGCAAGAGAAGATTGATAATAATATGCTCCGTGTGGTACAATGTTCAGTTTAACTTGCAATCTATGGCCAAGATCATCAATATCATTTCTAAGTAACATTTGTCTGTCATTCTGTAAAAAATCACTTATATTTTTTGAAAGTTCATGTTTTTTTTCAGCTGTAAATTGCCCTGCCATCAAATTATTTTCTCGGATAATGAAATGTGAACAACGGTCATTCTGTACACAGCTATGTAATTCTAATAAGCAGTATGTTAAGCATATAAATAAATTGTTCTCTTTCCATATACTTGACTCTGTGTTTTCTATACAGTGTAAAAGAACTGTTTTACACATGAAACTTGATATATTAATTGTCCCCTGAGGATTAAGGAAGGATTTAAGAATCATTTTCAATAATACATAGCACCTTATTTGTGTTATATTTAGGTTAAACATAAGAAACCTCTCTGCCAATGATGTAGATATTCTCCATTCTAATTCAGGATATTCACTGACCTTACTTCCTGTTCCAACAACAAAACACTCAGTACTGGCTGCATATCGTCTCATGTCTTGTGTTGGCCATCTGCCAATTCCTTGTCTTCCTAACCAACCAGATGCTGATTGAGGCCATGATTTACAAGGATAAGCTAACACGTAGTCTTGATCACAGACTCCTGGTTGTCCTTGTACAGCATTTGATGGTCCATGACCTACAGAACCCGGAATGATCCTATTAAAATTTGTGTTTTTTAACAATATTCTTCCACTTCTATCAGTTATATGTTTTTCATCAGGAATGTAAGTGGCAGGAAGAGGTACTTCATGTTGGAGCAGTTGTAAGAAACAATAACCAGGGGTAGTGTTCTCATCATGTATCATGAGGTAGTTTCTCTTGCCATGTTCCCACTCTGACCAGTCTTGTATTATATTCCAATCATGGAAACAGATTAGTAGATCAGAGTCTGAATGAAGTCCTATAGTAGTTGTAGCTTCACTCTGACTCCCTAGATAATATTGAGTTATATTTATATCAGGTAACATGTTGATGATATTCCTTGTAGTCTCTTCTAGCATTTTTCCTCTTCTCCAGCTCATCACCATTCTTTCATTGACACCAATGTCATCTAAAACCTCTGATAACGCCAATGATAGGTTTTCTCTGTACTCAGGTTCTTGAAACATTCTGTAATATATTAGTCAAAAGGAAAAATTGTTTCAGTCAGCAACCAAGTTTATTTTGTCACATACCTCTTCATGTTACTTCACTGACCTTGATGTCATAGAACAGAACAGTACGGGATATCCAGTACAGGATAGCCAATTTGGAAAGTTTACATAATTTAAAGTAGATATCAATTAATAAATAATATTTCATGGATTTTTTTTCCTTTTATCTTTTTGTTTCGATATTTTTCTATTTTCATTTCATGAACATTTTGATGTTAGTGTATTAATAGATGAGGGGATGTGTGATTAACTATTTTCTTAATACTGAATGTTATAGTTAAGGCAGATTATAACTGAATGTTTTTTATCATGGTGGATTTTCTATCAGTCTATTCTGTGTTACAACTTTTCCAATATCAATTCATTAAAAAATTTCTTACTTCCATTTTTTTGTTTGTAAAAAAAACAACAACAACAACAAAAAATTTATAAAAAAATAAATAACATTTTAATATTTTATCAATAGTCAATTAATTGAACTAGTCCTTTAAAATAGTGAAACATTTTTGATTTCCAGAATTATACTTTTATAAATTTTTTTTAATCAATACATAGTTATAAATTTCATAGTGATAAAAATTGTAACTTTAAGCAGGAAGCTAAGAAAAGGATACTTGAATTAACTATAAACATTATTAACTGGCATTAAACTCTCACATAATTAAATTTTCAATGAAATACTTTGTTAAAATATTATGTGTACAAAAATAAATCGTAAACTTACTTTGAAAAGATGATTTGGTACTATGTCGCTGAAACAAATCAAAGGAATTGTATTGACTCTGTTTCGCAAGATTGAAAGAAATTTTGCTACTTTTACTTCCTCTGATAGTGTGAAAAGGAAAATAACTCATTTCTTCATCCGATTGTTTTATAAGAAAATTTGATTGTTTCCTCTGTTGGAAAAAAATCCCCAACATACATGAAACTATATAAGGACTATAAGGACTTTAATATAAAGTGCTTTCTATTAAAGCAATAAAGAAATTATTATAAGAATTATTATTATTATATGAATAAAATTATTGACGGCTTTTTGACGGCCCCCCCCCCCCCCCTTTTTGAGGCCTCAAACAGTGAAAAAAAAACGCCCTATTTAGCCCCAAAACACTTTCGTTTCATAAATGTTGTTAAAAAAAGTGACCACTTTTTCGGCGCCGCGTCCCATCAAAATGGTACATAAGGGGGTTGCCAGAAGGGGGATGTGCCCCATTCTGTTTGGGGGGTTTGAAGGGGGGGTATTCCCCCTCATTATTAAGAAAATTTTGGACATATGACAGGCTAAAAATGGCCTTAGGTCGATCTTAGAGTAACTAGTAACCGGCGCAAAAAAGCCTTTTATTCTCTTTCAATTCATTGAGAAGTTACAGCACTTTGAAATCAGTTTTGATGGGGAAAAAAAAGCAAAATAGTGTAATTTTCGCAATTTTGAGACGTTCCCACAGGAAATTTACGATTGAGTATGCTGTTACAGAGGCTATGGTCCAGTCAACATTTGTGCCAAGTTTTATCAGTATTGAAGCATTTTTCATAGTTTCATAGCAGTTTGAACTTGTAACAGGAGGCTTTTCAATGAAAATGGTCATTTTTCACAATATGCTCATGGGGTAAAAGGTTAAAGAATATTGCATGTACAACCATTCTTTCAGAGATAAATAACTGTATTTTCAAAAGAAAACTTATAATTATATAAAAAATATTTAATAGAAATGCCCAATCAAGATTTTAATATTGAAAATTTAATATTTAGAAAGAAATGCATATTATTTTAATACTGACAGAGTTTTCATCATGCTAACTTTGATGTGAATATCGTACAATGTATTATGGTTGATTAATTTTAAAAAAAATGGAAGTTAAAAAAAATGGAAGTTAAAAAAAGATACTATTTTTTGTGGTAAAACTCGGTATTTTCATGAGAAAACATTTATACCACCCTTGCGGTTGAGGGGTTTAGACATCAGAATTGCAGCCACCGTTTATCCCTGGGTGATCATAAAAGGCGACTAAATGGGTTTTAATTATTGGAGTCTTTCTTAGCTCCAGCAGGTGAAGTGGCTTTGACCCCTGGTGTTGCTCATACAGGGTTATCCAAATTCATCTTTCCTATTTCAGCACCATATGACCTTACTTTAAGTTGGTGCCCTGTGAAACCAAACCAAACAAAAACAAAACAAAAAATAAAAAAAACTATATAGGTATACAAAATAATTATATGGCAATAGATATTCTGATAAAATTTTGTCCTATATGTTATTAGACCCCTACTGGTTTAACTGGAAGGGACTTTAGGTTTACCCTCTGTCTGTCTGTCTGCCTGCCTGTCTGTACAAACATGTAGATACTGAGAGGGCTATTGGAAGAGTAAATTTCCTTTGATGCTTTTCATTCAGTAAGCTCTTATTTGGCTACTTTTTCTCTTACTTGGCTAAAATAAGAATAGAGAGAACAAAAGAGTAGCCACTTATATACCAGACTTTGAGCAAGTCCATTCTTCGAACTGCCCGTCCGTCTATCCACAAAACTTGATCCCTTTATAATGCAAAAAGTACTAAAAATATTTTTGTTAAACTTGAAATATGTGTAGATGGAAGTCTGAAGATTATGCATGAATTTTTCTTTTCTTCCTATGTTGAAAACATTTGGTTGTTATGGTAACATAAAGATTTAATAATTGGCAAATGTAACACAAAAACTGGATCCCGGGATAATGAAAAAAGTACTGAAAACATTTTTATGAAACTTGAAATATGGATTGATGGTTATGGAAGGGTATTAACGCAAAAATTACATCTTGCTTTCTTATGTTACATCGTGCTTTCTATCTAGTACATCTTGCATTCTGACTTGCACATCTTGCATTCTGACTTGCACATCTTGCATTCTGACTTGCACATCTTGCATTCTGACTTGTACATCTTGCTTTCTTACATGCACATTATGCTTTCTGCTGTGTGCGTCTTGCTTAATTGTATGTTGATATCATTATTTAACGATCATTTATTTATTTGTTGATCTGGTATATTAACCAGCAACTGTTTGTATTTGGGTCTATTAACTCAGCTTGAATGAAGAATGTCGTAAGGTAGAATGTGCATAGCCGAAAGCCTAATGCAGCAAGCATAACGCGACGCTACATCTGGTATAATAATATGTGACTCCCAAATTATGCTAACAGGTGGCGCTACAGTTATATTCTCGGTAAAGTCTGTATTGCGGTTCGGATTCAGTTTACCAAGTTACGTCCCTTTGTTTTAAAATTTCCATTTCCACTATGGAGGAAATAAAGTAAACATATATTAATGAATTGACCAATTTTTGTATTTATTACTGAAACTGTGTGGGTCCAATTATATTTCCAGCTGACAATGACAAGTTGCACATTTCCAATTCAATGACTTTAGAATTTTTTTTTTTTTCAACAAAATAATTATAAAATAGAACAGTTGTTCAAAGTGCTTGGGTATGGAAGGTGATTGATATTCCGGATACTCCTATATTTTCGGTAATTTCCGTATGGTTCCGTACATGTTTCCGAACTTGCGCCCTCTGTTGTGAAAAAGAGTGTAGTTTGCAACCTGCCTTGTTGTATTGCACTCAGTGCGTGCTTCCATGTATTATTTATACATATATAATCGATTAACATAGGTTTCCTATTTTTGTACACTTTAAATGTAGACAGTTTACTATCATTATAATTAAACTGAACTGATTTTAGCATCAAACATATAACTTTAATGTAGACAAATTTGAAGATAACGAACGATTCATGCAATTTAAAGCAAAATGTGCCAGTCATAATGCAAGATGTGCAAGCCAGAATGCATTGGGTGCATGTCATAATGCAAAATGTAATAGTAAGAATCCAAGATGTACAAGTCAGAAAGCACAATGTAATGTAATAGGAAGGCAAGATGTAATTCTCGCATTAATACCCTTCCATAGATGGTAGTCTGAAGATTGTGCACATCTATGTTGAAAAATTTGGTTGCTATGGCAACAAAGTGACTTAAAATAAAACAAGACATGTATTTGTGATAAATCAAAAAAGATTGAAAATATCTTTAAAAAACTTGAAATATGGATAGATATGGAGATTATGCACAACAAGGTTCACAACTCTAGCACCAAAATAATAAGATTTTCCTTCCCATTTCTTTAAAAAGAAATGTTGTTTTTGTATAACTTCTTTATTTCTTAATGTATCTACTTCATACTTTTAAATATATGTTTTTTTATCATCACCCACATCATATGTGGCAAGGTTCATATTTCTATCACTTACCAGAATTATCATCCTTGAACTCAGGAAATTTCATGAAAAAAATGTAGTTTTCTATAACTTTTGTATTTAAATTTTCTTAAGATGTCTACTTCAAACTTCAAGTGTAACATGTACATATGTTCCTTATAATGACTCAAATCATATGTTGGAAGATTCAATATCTAGCTTGACTATTTCCAGCATTATGCCCCCCCCCCCCCCCCCCCCCCTTGAACTTAGATTTTTTTCTATTAATTATTATTTTTTCCTCATTTCTAACAGGATTTACTTCAAACTTCAAATTCCCAGATCATTATATATATAACAAGGTTACATTTCCAGAATAATCTTCCCTGTTAACTTTTATTTTCATTTTTTTTTTTATTCAATTACTCAGATTATTTCTTCATGGATTTACTTCAAATTTCAAATATATGTTCATTATTAACACTTACATCATGTGTGATTAGATTTATAAGTCTAGCACCTGGGTTTATGATTATTGTGCCCCAACTATGGGAGGGGGTGCATTTATGATTATTGAGCCCCCCACTATAGAGGGGGGGGCATTTAGATTTACCCTTGTCCATCCATCCCTCAGTCTGTTCTCCTTTTGTGTCACACGTAGCTCAAAAAGTATTTGACCTAGAGTTATGAAACTTTACAGGAATGTTGCTCAGCATGTGAAGTTGTGCACCTTGGGTTTTTGCTGGTGAATTTATTCTGTTTTGTCAAAGTTATTACCCTTGACTTAGTAAAGATTTGCAATTTTCAACTTTTGTCACATAGCTCAAGAAGTGTTTGACCAAGGGTTATGAAACTTTACAGAAATATTGCTCAGCATGTGAAGTTGTGCACCTGGGCTTACGCTTGTGGATTTATTTGTAAAGTTCTTGCCCTTTACTTAGTAAAATATTTTTAGTTAAATCAACTTGTGCCACAATGTAGCCCAAATAAAGAAAATGACCTAGAGTCAGATTGACAAAACAGTGGAGTGTGGGGCCACCATTGTCCTATGTACACATCTCTAGTTAATCCTGATATAACAATTAGTTCAAATGCCACTTAGGTTAATTTAAGGTACATGTACATAATGTAAGAGCAGTGCTTATAAATAACCTATATTTATGAAGAAAATGCATAAGTAACAGCTATACTGTTCACAAGGATTCTTTCATGTGAGGAAGCTATCCAGCTAGCTTATGGAATGTCAGTGGTTCTACTCAGGTGCCTGTTTGTGCCTGAAATAATGCAGGGAAGGGCACCTGATGTCTTCCTCCACCAGTAAAGCTGGAACATCGTGATATGACCTATACTGTGTTGATGTGACATAAAACCCAAAACAAACAAACAAAACTATTATACATTTGCATGCACTTTTCTTTAAAAAGATATTGTTGTCTTTATAAATTTTTATACATATTCATGATAAGGCAGTTCATCCTTTTAAATAAATAAAGTTGTGCATAAAATTTTACGGTCATTGTAATACGGTTTTCTTATTTTTTCACTTCAACTTAATCATTGTTTCTTTAATTATTAATCATATTTTTTTCATGATTCTTTGACTTTGCCCGACTT